GAATAGAATGACTCGCGCGGAGGTTAAGTTGGACCGCTACGGCTCCTGGTACCGTATGGAGGATACATGAACTAACCGGAGGCTAAATATATTGGAAAGACCCGTTTATTACAATGCCGGTATCATACTGCACAGTGCAGTGCCTGGTTGGCCGGCTGGTCAATTTCAGTTTCTGGTCTATCCAACTTTTTTCACAAGACGGCCGCGTGAAGTACGAGTACTGTACTGAAAATTTTCCGTCAAATCCTTATCAAAAACACCACCACCCCCCCGCAACCACAAACAATCCCTAGCCTACCACTCCCTTCCCAGAACTGAGTGACCCCTTGGGAACCAGCCATGGACACACTGGCCCCCCCCTACCGCGTGTAACGTACCGGAAATAACTCCTCGATACCAAGAACATGAAATACTCACCAGCCAGTAGACTATCCCATGCCATACCATATCGTTATCATAACATTATTATCATATCAAATCCAGCCAAACCACCTTTCACAGCACCGCACAGTGCACAAACGCGCACGAAAGCACGATTCGACATCCGCATCGATACACTGATAACAAGCAATGGGGGGATTTTTGACACCGGTTATATGGCATGGCAGGGCAGAGTCGTTGCTACCGGTGCAGTATGGTACTGTACAGCACGGGTTATCGCCAACTATGACACGATAGGACACAACATAAATAGATTAATCCGGGACGGTTCTTACTCATTCCCCACGTATGGGGAAATGGGAGGAGAGAGAGAGAGAAAGGCTTTGTTCGAGCAGTTTTCCCCGGCCAAGTTGCTCGGAGTACTCGTACAGTACCGTAAGCGCGCGCTCGAGCAAGCAAGTGCAACCGTTCGATGGTCTAGCGTATCGCGGCAATTCATGTTCGCACTTTATAGCTTAGCTTTACTTTTCTTACCGCAAAGCGGGTGTTTAGGGAGGGGGGGGGGGGGGGAGATGCCGCGCGAGATCCGGGGCAATACTTTTTCCTCTCATGTAATCTATACGGTACTGTAATCTATCAGAGAGAGGGGCAGAAGGACGGGACCAAGAGGTGCTCCTGGTTCAAGCCAAGTACAGTGACTATGGAGCAAAAAAAATTAAAAAAAGTGCTTCTACAGCGCATAAGCCTCTCGATGAAAAGGGGAGTGCAAGTGCAAGTGCTTCTACAAATGCTCGTACGAGCATGGTCCGGGCGCGAGGAGTTCATCGCCCCCGAGCAAGGCAACAGTATCCTACAAGTCTAGAATAACCGTAGCGGTATATAATATTCCCCCACTCCTGAATCCATACCGGTACAACCAACATACCGTACCAGTACGAATAACCAGCAGCGTAAGCTGTACGTGCGTGTACAGTACTGTACTGTAGCCCGTAAGCCTCCTATCCCACCAATCCTCCACATCGAAAGCACCATACAACGTATGATAACTTAACAAACAAGGATACAGCAATAAAATCATGGAGATTACGATATGCATTCCAAAGTATTTTGCCCAACCAACATTCACCCCTTTATCCAATTTAACTTGTGATAATCCCTCGCGAGTGACCCATTATGACTAACACCTTGTGTCGAGTTTTTCTCCGATACTGATTGCTGATTGGTATGGTAGCACGGATATTAACAACAAAGTTGCGGGTAGGAGGAGGATCTTTACTAATCGCGGGATTTTTGTTTGTTGGGGGTTTGTGCCGCATCGCTAGCGTAGCGTACAGTACCATATGCTCTTGCCATCGCAGTTGGCTACGGTACTCCTTGGTCTAACATGTCGGCTGTATGCAAGAAGGGTACAGTACAGTACCGGCGCAGCGGTACGATAAATATCATACCTGTAGATTTATATCCTGGAGGAGCGGGAATGTTGACGATATATAGCGTGGGTTGGGGTGAGGGCTTGATCGGGTCGTGTTGGGTTTGCTGGGCTGGGGGAGTGAGATGGGATGGGATGCGCTTTGATAATAATTATGTGAATTGAGGGTATTCCCATCACAGCTTCGTCAAATTGCTCCTGTTGAGCTCCGATTATGTTTATTTATTTTTGTCCCACGACAAATATTTTTTCTCTCTCTCTCTCTAACCCTCCAAAGCACGATACCGCAAACCTTACTCCGATAAAGAATACCAATAGAAGGAATCCGTAGTGGGGAATTATCACGATAACTTGCACGAGTTACGGTAGTCTACTCTACTTCAGCACTGATGGTTCACGAGTTTTTGTCCCAGCCTGTGGCGTCAAGTTAGACAACGTTAGGGAAGATCGGAATGCGGCAACCGGGACGGTTGCAGTGCCACGCGCTGTGCTCGCGAAATCAGGATTCTGTTTTTTTTTTTTTTTTGCTTTGTTCGTCACTTTGTCGGAAGTGACCGCGAGCGTTCGGTTTTTGCAAGTACGGTCGCTCGGCTATGATCGTTGGCTACCGTGGGGTTTCCCGCATAAGGCCACATATGATCTTGAGGACTGGGCAAAAGGACCGCACTTTTTGTCTTCGATGGATCTAAGCCATGGATGGAGGAGCAGGGGGGCGGGGTGGGGGAAGGTTCATTTTTGGGAAGTTTTTGCGGTGAGAGGTATGATATAAGTACGGTAGTATGATACTTGAGTATGATCTAGTACTGGTACCGGTGCTGTTTGGTGCAAGTACGAGTACAAGTAACTTGCTCAGTAAGTTACCATAGTGCTATTGATATAGCTTTGCGCCACCCCTTTATTGTCCCCTGCTGTTTGCTTGTGCGGGTGTGTAGGTAAACATTAGGATACTATCATGCTAAAAATACTGTGCTCGAGTACGGTATGTTAGGGCCCGGTCGGGCAGTTATTATGGCGAGTTATGATACCATACGAGTACCCGCGGACTACCGGTACTGTACGGTGCGGTAGGATAGGGAATTGTGTACAAGTAGAGAGTATCATTCCCTGGGGGAGAGGGGATGAAAAATAAATAATCCAACCGCGAGCCACCAGCACCACCACAGCCCGCCGAGGGAGGGGAAGGGAGAGAAAAAGAGTGGAAATCCAGACCAGTTCCAAACTGCGCCACTATAGGGCTGCAGGCCGCAACTGGCGACTGTTCAAGGCGGAGTACTAGTACAGTACAGTACAGTACAGTACTGTACAGTACTAGTACAAGTAGCAATCCTAATATAGCCTCACGTAGGCTGCCAGTAATAAGGCCCACTGGAACTGATTCATGTTGGGGCAATTCTTGCTGTTCTTTTCCCTTTCCCTTCCTTCCTTCCCAGGGATTGAGGTGCCCCGTGACTGACTGCTACGGCGCTCGTGGACTGCTGGGACTATCGCCGTTGCACGAGTACAGGATTATTAAGTGGATAACGAAACATTCCCTTTTTCTTCTGCTTACTCCGAGCGACCGCTGGATGCCCGTTTTTTCTTAATATACACATTTTCACTGACCCACCACATCGCTACGGAAATTACGCAGCATGGGTGATAACTCACAGCGTTTAATCTGTTCATATAGCCTTTTTTTTCTTGCTTTGTTGCTGTATTTCCACCTTGAGCACCGAAGCGATGAAGGGATGGAGCGATCCCGGGAAAAAGGTGGGGATAAATATTTCCTTCAGCTTTTCGAAAGCAGCATGCTCGGTTAATGAAACTACCCCTGTTGGTAACACAGGTTGCGGCATAAAGGGAAGGCAAGCAAGCAAAGCTCAAGGAACACCAGTGCAGGTAGTTGCTTGTAGAAGTGGATAGCGAAAACAGGGCATTTGGCCCTTTGCCTGTTCTCCACGGCACAGCGCGCGGGTATCCAAGCGAGGTTTGGCCGAGTTTGGCAGTGTACTCGGGTATCCTTGCGTCATGTACCCTATGCTATCGTGATCAGCGTGGTGGTGATGATGATGATAGCGTGAGTAGCATGGCGGAACGAGGGAACGATGGAGAGCAGGATGGATGGGTTGGAGGATGGATCGGTCTCTAAATACCGGTACCGGTATGTGCTCTCTCTCTCTGTAACAGTAGGGTACTCGAGTACCGTACTCGAGTATGGTGCCGCACTAGAAGAGTTTGGCCTTTGCCGTTTGCTCCACTGTTTTTTGGCTGGAACTTCAGGGAAAAAAGTTATCAGCCTCAGAGATCCTTACCCAAAGGTGTTTGGATAGATAATAGCAGTTATCGACTCATTTAACTGGGGCTCTCATTGGCTGTTCGGTAAATAATATTGTCCTACCAAGGGCGGGTCTTCAAGCCACTTCCCTTTTGGTACTACACTGGCACGATGCCGAGTGAGGAGGTCCGTTTGAGGTGGACCTCTGGGTGAATATGTGAGACATAATAAGTTGGTGGGACAGCGAACTAAACTAAACTTAACTTAAGTGCAAGGGTTGGTATTAGTAAGTGAGGTTAATTCAAGTAAAGGGCCCCATATGGTAGGGTGTGCTGCAGTACTCGTACCGTGCACTCAGCCCGTAACTGTGTCACAGCTGTCAACTCGGCTGAGAGCTTTGGAGGGGATGGAGAGAGATCGAAACCAAGAACATGAACCTGTATCGTGGAAAGCCAAACCATTATCCCGGGCAGCCACGATGTCTCTGAGCATTTATTTTGACCCGGAAACAATCGCATGAGGGCTTCTCCCGGAAAGATGCTTAACTTGGTATGGTATTGATAGAGGGACGGCCTATGACCACTCTGGAATAAGAGGGGGAATTGGATCCCAGGATGGGTCAAGATGTGTGCCGGTGGAAAAAAAAACAACCTCCAAGGCCTGGGAGTTAGTGCTTACCCACCACACGTATACCAGACACCATTCCCCAAAGGACACCGTGCGGCGGAGACAACTAGCACAGCAGCTGATAAAAACTTAGTCGAAGAAGGTCCAATTGAAAGCACTCTCACACACCCTTCCCGCTCTCTCCCCTCCACTCACCACACACGCACACACACCCCGTCGAAATTTCCCATCCATGGGCCGGGGTGCCAATTATACTGCCCAGCCAGCAAGTTGATAAAAACTCCACAATCCCCTCCAAACTTGCCACACCTTTTTCCCTCTCTGCACGTTCCGTCAATTTCATCTCCCCTTCCACCCCTTTCGTTAATTTAATAAGTTATTATTGGATATTAACGACAATCGAAGCGCTCCTTCAATTTATCCAATAACCTTTTTTCCCCGGGCCTCGGTGTTCGACGACCAGAGTGAGAGAGAAAGGAGGAGAGAGCTGTGGGAGTGGATTTAAAGTTTGGCTACGATACATTATCACGGACCGGCAACCATGTTGAGGAGGTTATTTGCTGGGGCTGCTATAGCAGTGTTTGCGTGGTGGGAGGTAACGGCCTTGCCTAGTCCTCAGGATCCCGGTTCGAGTAGTGATGGAGGAAATTCGACGGACCATATTGTCGCTGTGGGAAAGGCAGATCATCAATTTAGTCCAGATATCATTATTGCGAGGCCGGGGGATACAATTAGTGAGTATTTGCTGCTTTCCTCATCTAAGGGGGAAGGGGGGGGGAAAGGAATAACGGGGTGAATGATCGTTGGTGCTAATGAATTTGGTCCGTGTTTCTAGCGTTCCAGTTTTACCCTTTGAACCACTCGGTGGCTAGAATGGACCCCGAGTATCCGTGTAAGCCATGGGAGAAAATTCATAGAGATGGCACTCCGATATGGTCTGGTTTCCACGCCATGGACACTTTCTTGGATCCGGTATGTGTTTACTCCACGGTGGGAATAAGGGGGGAAGAGAAGGCAGAGGGATGCTAACAGAGACTAGCCCCCATCCTATACTATCAAAATCAATGATACAAAGCCCCTTTGGTTCTACTGTTCTGCCGAAGGCAGTTGCATCAAATACCAGATGGTCATGAGCATAAATCCGTATGTTGTCTTATGAATCTGCTGCAGCTTTCTAGAGTCTAATAGTAGACAGTGATAACAACACCTCCCCAATCGCCAAGGTCAAAGCTGATGCTGGAAAGGCCACCTTTTCCCTCTCGCCCGGTGAGCCCTGGCCCGCCGAGGGCGGTGATATCCCGAACCCTGACGGTAACTCCAGCACCGGGGGTTCCAATACCGGCAACAACAATCATGACGATAGCATGAGCATGAAACTCTCACCCGGTGCAATCGCTGGTATTGCTATTGGTGGTGTGATCGCCCTCGCGCTTATCGGTCTCCTCTTCTTCTTCGTGGGTCGTAAGAAGGGGACTGGCGAGGCAAAGACCGGTGGGCAAGCCGCCAGCGCCAACCTTCAAGAAGCTGCGCTAATGAATTCGCAAACCCCCGGGCCGGAGTACCCGCCCGTTTATCAAGACCCGAGATATTCCGTCCTACCCGCTGTCACGCCGGTCCTCGACGCCAAGAACTCAGCTCCTGGAGAGCCGCCCATGAGTGAGAATCCTAATCGGGTTTCGGAGTTGGGTGCCGGGAATTACGACCCTGTGGAGATTTATACAGCTGGTCCGGATGAGACTCCTGCTCATCGCAATAATTAAACGCGCGATGGTTTTTTCCTTTCCTCTTTTTCACAATGACGAATGGGTTGGAGGTTAAGGGGTTCGGTGTAGGGTTCGGTGTATGGAAGGCGATGAATTTTTAATTCAGGTGTAAATATTGCTACGGCACGTTTCAATCCGCGCATTCTACTTTTCTTTCCATATTATTTTTCAATCTTTTCTTGCCTTTTTATATATATAAGGGGCACCCCCACTTTGAACGCTTATATTATCTTGGTGCAGGTGATTTTCTTCTTTTCTACGCAAAGATGGTATGATAAAAGCCTCTTTCTACTCCTTCATTAGTTTAATCAGGTTGGGGGATTGCGAATTGTACTGTACACAACACTACCTTTTTTTTTAAAAAAAAAATCAATAATATTTGTCGCCACCACTTTCCAACTTGAACTTTCCTCTCTCTTCAACATTTCAATTCCCACCGTCTCGCTATCTATCTCCGTTTAACGGGGGGCAAACCAAACCAGTCACCCGGGGGTTTTTTTTTCTTTCTTTTTCCCACTGAAAGGAAAGGAGAGGCGACTTCCTGCTACAATGGTCTACTTGTATCTGCAAGAGTACGAGGAGAATCGAAAAAAACGCCACAAAATCGTGGTCGGTCCGCCGAGTTCCGCAACCTGATTCGATAAGTCTACGAGTATTCTGTTGTACTTGTATCGTCGCTAACCCAGGCAAGCAAGCAAGCAAATCCAGTTATGATAAGGCATGTCTCGGAGAATCGAGATTTCAACAATAATAATGAAGAAGCAAAAAATAGAAACCGCATAGGGCTAGCGTGCATGCAGAAATATGATACACGCACTCAGCTCCGGATGCAGGTTTAGGAGAAGCTGAAGAGGTTATTGCCCTACGGTACTGTAAGACTCAGCCCTTGTATCGACAAGCTTTTTAGGGCTGTGCTTTGTGTTGCGGGTACAAATTGTGAAAGTTGTGTGGGGAAGTGTGGGAGGGTTGTAAGAAGTGGTTGGTTGACGCTATTATAGTTGTGGTGGTGGTGGGGGGACGACAACTTAGAGCGCCTCAAAAAAATCAAATAATGATAATTTAGCGTTGAGGTGAATTATTTATTTTTATTTTTATTTTTATTTTTTTTGGAAAACAAAAAAAACTCGCCGCCGGGATTTTTTGTTGTGGTGGTGGTGAGGAAGTAAGTAAAAAAGATCGTTTTTGGTCTCTTATGGATGATTTTATTATTATAATAATATTATGCTAGGCAAAATATTATGGCTAATTTTGGATATGTAAATTTTTTTTATTTACTAATTAAGGCCCGGTCGAAAAAATTGGAGTAGCTTCGTAATTAATACTTCTAGATTTGGAATGGTGACTTTTTTTGCTGCCCGGGTTTAAGTTAGCGGCCGAAGACATTTTGGGGTGGATATCGTAATAAGGATTAATATCGTAGTGAGATGGCACATGCGAGGTTAACTTTATCATAACTTTAGTTGATCGGGGGGATTGGGTGGTGGGGGCGGGGTTTTTAACTCGATGAGAACCTTGGTCTATGTACCGTGTTCGGGCGCCGTGAATAGCCGCGGTATACGCTGAGGACTTTTTTTCTGTGCCGTCAACTTTTGCACCTTTTTCTATCAATAATTTACACTGATATCTACTGTATCCTATCCACTGGTTAAAATATACAGACAGAAATGTCCTGGCTACCCATCCCCCCGGACCACTACTTCTCCATAAACAACATCCCCTTCGGCATCATCTCCACCCCCACAGACACGACCCCGCGTCCGGCCGTTGCCATCGGCGAGCACGTCCTGGACCTGCGCGCCTTCGCCACCTCCGCCAACGGCTTCTCGGGGCTCCCGGACTTCGCGCGATCCGAAGAAGAGGTCCTCACGTCCGAGCGGACCCTGAACCGCTTCGCCTCGCTCGGCCGCGCGACCCACCGCCTCGTGCGGGGGTACTTGCGAGAGGTGCTCTCGGCCGACACGCCCCATCCGGGGATCCTCAGGGACAACCCGGAAGCGCGGAAAGCGTGCCTGCTGAATGGCGCGGAGGATGGGGTGCGGATGCACCTGCCGATGGACATAGGCGACTACACGGACTTCTACGCCGGCAGGAATCACGCCTTCAACGTCGGCGTGCTGTTCCGTGGTCGGGAGAATGCCCTGCGGCCGAATTACGAGCACTTGCCGGTGGGGTATCACGGACGGGCTTCGTCCGTGGTTGTCAGCGGCACGTGGGTGCGCAGGCCGCGTGGACAGGTGGTCAAGCCCGGGGAGGGGGAGGGCGGGAAGGTTCCGGTGTTTGCGGAGAGTGGGAAGTTGGATTTTGAGTTGGAGCTCGCGGCCTTTGTGGGCAGGGGGAGTGACTTGGGGAGTTGTGTGGGGGTGGATGAGGCGGGGGAGTATTTGTTTGGGGTGGTGATTATGAATGATTGGTCTGGTTGGTTTTTTTTTTTTTTTTTTTTTTTTGTCACTTTTCTTCTGTGGGCTGGCTGATTGTTTGATTTTTAGTGAGAGATATTCAAGAGTGGGAGTACGTCCCCCTAGGGCCATTTGTTAGCAAGTCCTTTGCAACGAGTATATCCCCGTGGGTCGTCCTCATGGACGCGCTCGAACCGCTACGCACTCGGCCGTTAGAAAGAGAGACAAAGGTACCTTTGCTCCCCTACCTGCAGGAAGCGAACAGCAAGAGCGTATACGATATCCCGCTCACAGTCTCTATAAAAAGTAATCCTTCCTCTTCCTCCCAATTCTTCCTAGCTAACAAAAAAACACAGCCCAATCTGGCACCCACAAAATCTCTCAAACCTCCTCTTCAAACCTCCTCTTCTCCTTCTCGCAGATGGTAGCGCACCACACTGTTACCGGCTGCCCACTGAGGACCGGGGACTTGCTCGGCAGCGGCACTATCTCCGGAACTGACACGCGGAGCATGGGCAGTTTATTGGAAATGACCGCGAACGGGACCAGGAAGGTTCCCCTCGGCGATAGCGGCGAGTTTAGGGGGTTTCTGGAGGACGGTGACGTGGTTGTTCTTGCGGGCGGTTGTGGGAAGGCTGGTGTTGGGTTTGGGGAGTGCGTTGGGGAGGTTTTGCCCGCGGGGGAATAAGTGGTTGTGGGTAAGTGGTTTGCGAGTGATGGGTTGTGGAGCAGAGTGAAAGATGAAGGTGGTGAACACGAACCAGTTTTTTAAGGCGAGGGAGTGTTCTTGGAGGGTTTCTGGTGTTTAGTGATTGTGGGTATATATACCGTGCTTGAGAGAATATATGAGCCCATCAAGTTATGTAACAATACGGGGAAATTGCCCAATGGTGTAGCCAGTCCTCAAAAATAATAATTTATTCTATCTACTCGTGTTTTAGCTAAAAGTTTTGGGTATCGTAGACTTGGGCGCTGCACGGAGGACCCCGATCACTAGGGTGCTGGGTATGATATCATACTATGGTGGGTGGGAGCCGGTATTTATAATAGGGAGTTGGTGATATCGGCACAAGTACATCGTCAGCTCAATGCACTAACAGCTCTTGAAAAAATTATTTCCTTTATATTTTTCCTCCTTTCCTGTATGATATATCAAACTATCGTTCTTTAAACCCTCCTCCGGTCTGGTCTGATCATTTCCCCGTTCTCACTCAACATGGGCAGGATTCAAGTATTGGATGCTTCTTATCACGTAGTAGGATAATTATATTGATATTATTATTGAAGGAGGGAGGGAGGAGCCAAGATTATGAGATGAGCGGCTTGTTCTCTAAGGTAGGTATGATACTAATGTTATGGAAAAAAAAATAATCGATACAGCTATCATAGATAGAAAAGCCTTCAGCCATAACAGAGTGGAAAATAAAAAATAAAAATTTTTCATCTAATTTTCGTGGTCAACCTTGATCACGAATTGATAAATAAATAAATAAAAGTTGAAGGGTATCGTAGCCCAACCCGCTCACGTACTGTTACCAAGGGTAATAAAAAATCATGTAGGAGGTGGAAGGGTTTGATTAGATGAGAGAAGCGAGCGCGACACAGCCAAGGTTGACAAGTCCATTCTGAGCAGCAATTAGTACCAGCGCAGGAGAAGAAACTGTAAGGAGGTAAATATCATAATATTATCATACTTGCGAAACCTCCCCTTGACAGCAAGCAGCCTTGGCATCGCACTGCTTGTTGATAGGAACCTGGACTACATTGCACACCTCCCATCAGCCCGGAAAGAAAATAAAAAAAACTCCAATAGGAAGAAGAACAAGAAAAATACTCACCGCCAATAACCGCCGGAACATTAATAGGCGTGCAGTGAATTCCGATATTCCCGCTTCCGAACACGGCGCCCAACAAGCCCGCATTGGTGGTATCGCCCCGCTTCTCGATCTTGTTGAGTTGCGCGTTGCCGCACGTCTGCACGCCCTGCTCCACCGTGTAGTCGCCTGCCACCTCGCCCTTGTTGGCGGCAGAGTTGCCGGCGTTCTGGCCCTTGTTGCCCACGTCCTGGTTGCCGTCGGCGACTTGGGTCGTTTCCTCCACCGAGGTGATTTGCCGAGAGGGGAGGAGGTGGGGCGAGGCGCTGGCGGTCAGGGTGAGGGCGAGGGTGGTGATTATTGAGAGACGCATTTTTGGGATTGGTGTTAAGTTAGAGGATATAGGACTTTTTTGGGGGGTTTTTTTTTTTGGGGGGGGGGGTTGGAAGGAAAGAAGGAATGAGTGAATGAGTGAAGGAATGAATGAATGAATGAATGAATACTCGGTGGGATAGTCGTGAGAAGGAAGGGAGGAGGGAGCGGCATTTATATCCACTCACTCACTCACTTGTGCGCGCATGTGTGTGTGTATTGTCTGTTTGGCCGCTACGATCATTCCCTGGGCACAATGAGCAGTGAAGGTGCGCCACTGCTTTGCCCCTCTATGATGCGGCCATGAATGAGTGAAGGAGAAGGTAAGGTACTATACTCACCACGTCGATCAGAATAATCACCCCTTGGAAAAGTAATTAAAAGCTCGCATGCGTTCATTATTCCATTCCCCTTACTCCATGCCTTCCCCCGCCGCCGCCGAGACATGCATATCTGATCATTTCACCGCCACCAATCAACTTTCCATCGGAGAACTAGAGCGAGTATGATGATATTATGAATTTTTATTTTTATTTTCTCCTCCGAGATCGACATGTTCCTACCTAGGACGCCTACGGTAGTTCGGGGCTATGGGTAATGATCTACAGTAGGTACGTGCGCTGCAGCGCTGTACTCGTAGGGGGTTTAATTTTTTTATTATTTTTTTCCCAGTCAGTGATGGCGATTTTCCAGCTCCGCCGGTCCGTCCGTTTGTCACTGCGTCTTCGAAGGGCGGCCGTGCGCCGGGCTATCATAATATTATGATGTCTGCTGTTTTGTCGTTGTGCGGTAGGTCTTGCCTAAGTTACATCTACCCTACCGCAACCCAAACAATTTCGTGGCGTCTAACTAAGGTTGTGTCACCATGTAGATCTCTCGGGAGGGAGGTGAAGAGATCTGCTTGGAGGAGATTTCCCTAACAGCCGATAATGATATATGTGCTAGTGTTGTTAATGTTTTGGAGGGGGGGCTGTAATACCACGTCCCACCGGAGGAAAGCGAGGCTTTCAATACTTGCGTGTACTGGAGTAGGGGTGCGCATCATACTTGGACCGCCCAACTCGATTACAGCCGTGCTGATCAAAGTTTAACAATAATAATTTCCACAACTCGCGGCAAATAGCGAACGAGTGAGTTGTGGAGATCTCTCTCTCTCTTTCGAGTGCCCCCTTGGTGAGAAACATGAAGTAAGCCCAATGATGGATGACTCGGGGGGGCTCATTTGGGTCTAGTACGATGGCACTTTACTAACAACACCCTCTAATCCTGCGGCGGGTGTTCTTACTCGTGAGAGGAAATTCTGAGTTTGAGAAGGCGTCCAATCGGTGGTGGATGTAGCAGCTGTTGTTGATTGTCATGGTCCTGCGAGAATTGCGCCGGTGTGTGTGGGGTGTACTGTACCGCTGAGTTTTGGGAATTGGCGGTGGGTTCGAAAGGCGAGCTGTTGTCTTATCGGTAAGGGATGACCTCCATTTTGGGCTATTGCGATTTACTCCGAGGTATATTACCCATTGATGGGATCCCGCAGTGGTGCGGGTCGCTATCAAGAGGGTGGTCGAGTGACAATCTGTGAACTAAGGGCTCTGGTTACAGCTACTGATTGCCAAATCACTGATACTAAACACTTTCTTTCTTTTCTTCTTCTTTCGATTGTGAACGGGTTTAGATCTGCTTAAACTAGTCATACATTCGCAGTAAAAAATAATAATAATGGAGACGCAAGAAACACCAAATTATGTAAAAAGTAATCATCTCACCGGCTGGTCCCATTAGGAACATATAGTACGAGAGTAGCTAAGGAGGAGAAATAGAGAAGAAGAAATACAAGGAGTTACAAGTTCAACCTACACCGATGGCGCATATTAAGGGTGGTGAAAGGAGATTTATATCGTGTACTGAAATCATGGAAGATGGGGGAGAAAAAAGGCAAGGAGAGAGAGAAGACGCTTAGATGAGGGAAGCAAGAGCGAGACATCCAAGATTGATAAGACCATTCTGCGAAAGATGTTAGCACACGAGGAGCACCCACTAGGATCATCAGAAGAAATTACCTGAGAAACCTCTCCCTGGCAGCAAGCAGCCTTCGCATCGCAAGCCTTGTTGATAGGAACCTGGACTGCCCAAAATATCAGCGGAGCCCCCCACCCCCAGGAGGAAATAATAATACTCACCACCGATAACAGGAATATTGATAGGCGTGCACTGGATTCCGATATCTCCGCTTCCGAACACGGCGCCCAACAATCCGGCGTTGGTAGTATCGCCCTTCTTCTCGATCTTGTTGCAGCAGTTCAATTGCGCGTTTCCGCACGTCTGGACCCCTTGCTCGACGGTGTAGTCACCGGCAACTTGTCCTTCGTTGGCGGCAGAGTTGCCGGCGTTCTGGCCCTTGTTGCCCACGTCCTGGTTGCCGTCGGCGACCTGGGTCGTCCCCTCGACGGAGGTGACTTGGCGCGCGAAGAGGGGTGTGGCGCTGACGCTGAGGGCGAGAGCGAGGATGGAGATGATTGAGAAACGCATTTTGGTCGTAGGGGCTGGGTGGGCACGAGGTTTCTAAAAGAGTGTGGGGGTGGATTGGTGAGTGAGTGAGTAAAAAAATGAATGTTGGACGAGATGATGGGGAGGGGATATAGGAGGGAGGAGGATGCTTTATAGAATCTCGAAGGACCGGAAAAGGTCATTGGGGTGTTTTGATCAACAATTGTTTTGATTGTTTGTATGTTCGTCCCCACGAGAACAATGTGTTATGTGCACAGTAATTTCGCTGTCTTGCATGCTGCGAACCTGCATACGAAGGAAGGAAGGAAGGGGTGCACGATGCTAAAGCACACCCCTTTCGCAGATCCCTTCCTCCATCACCAACTCCACCAATCTACTTTATTCACTGCCGGTAAATCCCCAGAGACGGGAATGTCCTCCGGATCGTGGAGTGGATCGGGCATGAGGTTCGTAGGAAGGGGGGTGACAAGCTCGATAGGACGCTAGTCTGATATCGGTGCGGTTGTGGTAATACAACATACCAACCATTCTTCCTAATTTCGGTAATGTATTTTTCTCTTTTCTGCAGACGTTCGCGATTTCTCTTCCGCCCAAAAGTCCTCGTTCCGGCCCATTCCTTCCCTCTCTTTTTTAGATCCCCAGTGCTTGTGCTCGCCCCCCCCCCCACCGCATGAGGTACAGAGGTATCTATGGAAATTATTGTGAGGTAGGCACTGGCGATGATAGGCAGGGTGTACTATCGCACCGCACAGCTGACAACTTTGAACGGCAATTTTCTCTTGCCTCGTACTAAAATTGTATACGAGCTTGCTCTAACCACCACAGCTAAAAAAAACGGTAAATACGACCCGGGGTCGGAGCCTGTGGTATATATAAGAAATCTTGCCAGGCGTGAAAGGCGAAGAGTTGGTTTAATAGCTTGTCTTTGGCTTTCGGTGATTTCGTGGGAGGCGCTTACTCTGTCTGTTCTAAAGGATTTTATTTACTAGTGCTAATATCGTCTTCGCAGCAAGTGTGATTGAACCTCGGGCGTGAACTAAATTCGCCAGTAGATGGTAATGATGAGAGAAGGTAAAGGGGAGAAGAAGCCATCTTTGGTGAGATTATAGTTCTATCTGCCGTGGGGGCTCATCTGAAGAAAATTGGTAGAAAAATTTTCCCCCTATAGTCCTTGCCGCTTTATTCCCGCTCATCTGGACTCCCCCCCCCCCTTCTTGCTGCACGGACAGTTGGCATCTCCCAAGTTCCTTAGGGATAGAAGGGTGTGGCACTGATGAAGGGGTCGAAGATGTGTTCAGCTTACCGTACTTTAAACACTGAACACAGCGATGGACTACCGTCAAAGCTTGAATAATTGGACCGTGTGCTATGATAGGTCGTTCAGCTTTCCTCTCTCGGTAAGGTCAATCATTTTTTCATTTTTTTCAGTCTTGCAAGGAGTAAGGGGGCTGGGTTTTGCCGTGTTTTCTCTCGCCCCCTTTCCAGAAAAGGAAATTTTGGACTTCATATGATATCATAGCACCTGGTCCAATTATTTTAGTCTTTACGGTAGAGGGAGAAATATCCACAACTTGAATGACCGAGTGACAATCCATGCAATTACTTCACCTCCCTCCCGGCCACCTCGTAGGTGTTCGAAGGAAGGTATTTATCAACAGATTGAGCTCTGATCTAAACTAGCCATACAGCAGAAGATGTAAATTAACGAAAAGAGGTAGAAGAAGTAATTATGTAAGTCCTTTTGCGGCACACCCTCTCATCGACTTTTGAAGAAAGTGGAAAATAGTGAGGAAAGAAAACATCCAATGTGCGCAAAAACTAGTGACTAGGGAAATAATAATAATGAAAAAAGGGGGAGAGGTGAAAAAAAAAAAAAGAGTCCAACCCGCTCAAGGCGTTATAAACCAGAAAAAAAAGAAAAATACAGGAGAGCCATTGATACCTAGCCGTGGAAACCATATCTTGAGCGAGCTGTTGACTCGGGTGAGGAATACGCAGTGTTGAGTCCCTTAGATGAGCGAGGCGAGGGCGACGCAACCGACGTTGACAACACCATTCTAGGAAGGTTAGTTATGTGAGGTATGGAGAGGAGGGAGAGGGGGGAATACCTGAGAGGTGTTCCCTTGGCAGCAGGCTGCCTTTGCGTCGCAAGCATTGTTGATAGGGACTTGGGCTGTTCGAGCGGTTAGCAGAGCCCAAGAATCCCAGAGTGGATGGATACTCACCACCAATAACAGCGGCAACGTTGATAGGAGAGCACTGGACACCAAGATCTCCACTTCCAAAGACGGATCCGAGCAGACCAGCATTGGTGGTATCCCCCTTCTTCTCAACCTTGTTGCAGCAGTTCAATTGGGAATTTCCGCAAGTTTGGACACCCTGCTCGATGGTGAAGTCGCCAACAACATTTCCCTTGTTGCTAGCAGAGTTGCCGCCCTCCTGGTTGCCATCAGCGATCTGAGTCTCAATAGAAGTGATTTGTCGCCCAACGAGGGGAGAGGCGGAGACGCTGAGAGCGAGAGCGAGGATGGAGATGACTGAGGCGCGCATTTTTATTAAGAGCAAAAGAAGAGAGCGTTGGAGGATTGATTAGGTGGATTACGGTAGAGAGGTAATAATACCATTCAGCCAGCCCGGGATTTGATGAAAGGATGTAGTTGCGTATGGAATGAAGGCTCGATGAGATGATGGTGAGAGGGAAGTGACTGATGGGGGAACCGAGGAGGGGTTATATACGATTCAACTCTCGATGGGAAAAGGGAATTTGAAAAAAGGAGATAGATATATTGGAGTATCAACAGTCCACCAGATGCGTAGATCGGATCTCGAAGCTAATCCGGTATGGAGCATACCGCAGGCAGATTGACGAGCCAAGATTTCCGCACAGGTACCCGCTTCCCGCCCCGCCCCCCCTACTGTATTCGATGGTATTCGGGGGCGTCGGGAATTCGTTCATGATGTGAAAGACATGTATGTGCGAGTACTGTATATCTCCATCCCTTCATCGGCGAGTGTCTCCTTGCGTCCTCGGCCGGGGTGGAATCTAGATTAAAGTTTTAGCCATATACCCTCTCATCAGACGTCATTACGGAGGATTTCCCCATGAGCAATAATAATCCAGTGCCCCAGCTCAAAGGCTTTCTCGGCGAATTCAGAAGTTGAGAAAGAGTTCAGGAGAGGTAGAAAAAGCGCCATGAGTTCATACTGTATTGACCTCCCTGGGTGCATTGTAGAAAGTACGTCCGCGATATAAGTTACCCGCTGTTACCGTTACCGGTGCTGCGGAACAAGCGAAATCCATCCTCCCTTATCCCGACAGCCCACTCACGGCGACTAGACTGCTAAATGCATTAGTGCCGATCTCAATCCGAGGCGTAAGTAAGGGCTTCCGTGCATCTAATAATTCGATCGTGGGCGCTTTGGGAAGTGACGTGTTTATTGATCGACAATTTGTTCAAGAATCGGTTAGCACCAATTCTTAGAAGTATATGTCTTGATTGGCATGCAGATGGCTTAGGGGTGTTTGAGCAGAATTTAAAAGTTTTTTCTCGAGGTCACTGAGTAAAAGGGGGAGTTCAACAACGAGTGGGTGAGAACAATAGCGAAGGTTGAAGAGCTGTTTTCATTGGGCTTTCCCTTTCTTCTCCCAGACCAGGATCACCACCATAATATTACCATACAAACCCCACCAGATGGGGTGCGCACTGAAGCATCGAGTGAGAGCCAGTGAGTTGCTCCCGTCAACGGATAGAGTTCGGGGTAGGATGGGGAAGCGGCGATTTCCCGTTGCGGCGGCGCTGCTATCATAGCAAGGATAGTTTGCTACAGATTTGTATGACATTTGCTCATGCGGTGAGCTTTTCCATGTGTGAAAGCAGTACAGTACTGTGCTCGAGTAAAGGAGTTTTCTGCAAGGTACCAAGTCGTTTGATGCGTTACTGTAAAAATAGATCCCCATAGTTGTGACTGCTCGCATCGTCTCTAGCACGTGTCTTCCACATCAGGGGCTATTGGAGCACTTCTGAAGTGAGGGAATGTCGGAGCAGATTACTGTAAAGATTCGTCGGGCTGCTAACGAACCTAAGGAAACTTTATGACAAAAATCTTCACCCCGGAAGGGGTAAGCGAAGACAGGGTGCTGCAGAAACCAGGGGATATGTTTTCAGAAGTACTGTATCGCCAAAGCAGGAAGAAGAAAAATTACGGGCAAGACCAGTGTTGAATTTTAGTGAACAAAGTTAGTCACATCCTATTTCTGTACTGTACTTGTATCATACTGTATTGTAAAATCCAGATGTGCTATCTAGCCCTCGGAACCCCGGAGACGTCCGTCGAGTCGACGGAACAGTGAGGGAATCTTCCAAGGGGAAGAAGAGCTTCCTCTTAGCACTGCTGTGATGTGTGTAACCATAACTCGGCGGTAGCCAAAGGCAAAGACGAGATTCTATTCCCAGCTAAATTCCCCCGCTCACGAAATCCCAAAAACAACCCCAAACAATACAATCCTCCGTGTTTCTGATATCTGGGGAAATAAGTAACCCAAGTGAGATCGAGAATGGCGCTCTAAGGAACTGACATACCTTACGATACTAACCCCAACATCAAACTACGGACACTGGGCGCAGACCCGAGGACTTTCAAAAGCATCGCATTCTCCCTCTCCTCTATCTTGACTCACTGCAAATTCCAGCGCGCGGTTTAGGGGAAGGGAACGTACCGTATCATGGCTAGAAAATAAACAGCACAACACAAGATGACCCAATAGAAGGTGCAACTGTGATAGAGTAGATACCTTAAGTTTCCCCAGGTCGCCCCGGGATTACTCGCAGAATACCAGGATAATAAATTAAATGTAGATCGAAGCATAGTGCTAGACCACCATCTTAATTATCGTGGGATAACCCGGCGAAGAGAGTACCGGCACCAACCTTTCTAGTCTGCCCGATCCAGCCCTAGCTACAAGGAACCTCCCTAACACTCAGAACCAGACACTGCCGAACAATCTAGTATCATACCCACCCCGAGCGCCTCCCATCATACCACATAACCTATCAGGGAGCTTTTTATGCTGGGAGGCCAAGAACAGCCCTGTAGAAACCTGGCCATAGTATGATACCCTCACACTCCCGGTTCGATTCAGTTCGCAACCTCTCATTAACAGGTTACCGGTACGTATTTCTGGGCCTCCCAGGCGTATACTCGAGTACTCAGGTGGCCGGCGTTCCCCTCCCCACGGGATCCCCCCCCCTAACTTACCCCCCCAACACAACCAACGAAGAAGAAAAGAAAAATCTAATTACGAGTGACAGCCGATGATCACCCCCTAAAACAATCACCCCAATTGATCTAACCGCTTAACCGAGACATAAGCACACACACAACTCGTTTCAGGTTGTTGGCTTCTCCCTTCTGACTTGCATAGATTTCTGCTTGGGAATGCATGGATTGGTGATCTGTGTTTGGGGATTCTCATTGAGGGGGGTACTGTGCGGGGTAACTAGTACCGGTACTGATACTGTACTAGTACAGTACAGTACTTGCAAATTCCAGCTGAGAAATGAGTGCTGGATTGGTTCAAGATATCCTATTCAGTCCTGCCCCGTAAAAGTTCGATCTCGTATCCTAGACAACTGCCAAGCTCCCCAGCATCATATCATAACTATGAGAAGTTATCGCAGCGCTTATCAATTCACCAAATCCCTTTTCATGCACAGCGCCAATGCCCAGATGACAGGAGAAAAACCATTACGGCGAGGAAGAGACCCGACGCGCAAGCACTCTTCACAAGAGATCTTTTTCCCCACCCCTACGCCACCCGGTATCATATCATTGCTCATGGGATCGGCCTTTGGCTTGGAGTGCTTATCAAACCCGAAACACCCCATGCCCAAAACATCCGAATCGCCTTTTGAAGTATGATAAGGTCCACCACCACCGCTCGTGACTTCAATTATCTGATATACACATGTGACTTTTGGTGGGGGATAAGGTCCCGCTTTGGCACGACCAGAGAAATGGCATTTTTCTCACTTTTTATGCCATCTTTTAGTTACACAGCACTTTTCCACGAATTATATACAGTACAGCTCTAACCGGAATGCGGACATCCGCTTTCGTCGCAGTGGTCGGCAAGGCTGCTGTTGCTGTTTGGGTGCCGCTATGGATTTCATCGTGCTCTTTGCTCAAGAGGGTTCGAGATTTGGGGAAATGGTCTTCCTTCATATGGAGTAGGTGTGCAAGACAGGGCCTATCGCACTCTAATCACTAGTGCATTTTACGCCAAAGATGGCATTTTTTGTCAATTTAGATCACCTAAGTTACTATTCAATTATTGTAAAATCTCGCAAGCATTGATCGAGCGACGGTGAGAAATGCCCAGAGCCACAGCACAATGGACTAGAACGGCACGTTTCGCAAAACAACAAAGACAACAGCCACCGTCAACACCAGCCTCAGATCAGACACCGCCAAAAATCTCGGGAGGTTTCGCTGGCGAGGTACAATATCTGCACGGGAAAAATTTCATTTCTACATGCACGGGGAAATGTTAGATCGGAAAATCGGCATAGGGTACGGTGTCGATTGGTTGAGCTTACGCTTGTATCAAGAACATAGCGCCCTGCAATTTTGCCTTCCTCCATGAGTTTGAAGACTTGAGGGAGCTCAGAGAGCTTTCCGACTTTGAAGGGGGCTTTGATGAGGCCGCGGGCGAAGAAGTCGATTGCCTCATGGGTGTCGATGCGGTTGCCAACGTAGGATCCCTTGATGGTGATCATTCGGATAACGGTCGGGAATACTTCGGCTGAAATGCGGGCTTTGGCGGGGAGACCCACGCAGACTACTGTTCCATGAGCCCGGCAGTACTGTTATCCACCCCCGGCATTAATCATCCGATTCTTTCTTAAAGCAGGGTGGCTTTGGGGCAGATTTACCTCGGTGGCATGTTGGAAGGGCTTCTCGCTCACAGCGAGAAGGATGACAGCATGGGCACCTAGACCCCCGGTTATAGATTTGACCTTTGCTCCTACATCTTCTTTCGCAAAGTCCACGTATTCCTCGGCACCGAGTACATTGAGACACATTTCTTGCTTTTCGCTTCCAGTATCGATAGCTATAACACGAAAACCCATCGCTTTGGCGTATTGCACCTAATAGCCCTCGATTAGACACAGTATAAGTAAAGGATCCTGGGGTGATTACAGCAAGCGATCCAAGACCACCGCCAGCACCGACGATGGCTATGGTTTGACCTGCACGGGCTTGGGACTCTTTAAGGGCTTTGTAAACCTGCTAGGGTTAGTTTTAGGGCTAGTGGGGAGTTATCGGTCGGGGTACAAACGGTGATTCCGGCGCAGAGGATAGGAGCAACTGCGTCTAATGGAACTCCTTTGGGAATTCTAGCGACATCTACGGCTTTGCCAATCGCGTATTGCTGGAAGCTGCCATCCACGGTGTATCCCGAGAGCAGAGCATTTGTGCATAAGGGCTCGTCGCCAGCCATACCTATTCCGCATCAGTAGGATTGCAAAGAAGTCGGACAGCATAAAATTACAGAATTCGCAATGGCCGCAACTCCCGTTGATCCACTTGATGCCCGCATGGTCGCCTACTTTGATGTCCTTAACCAATTCGCCAACAGCGACGACAACACCAGCACCTTGGTGGACAGTCAGAAATGTATGCCTTTTAGTTTAGTCGGAAGATCATACCTTCGTGACCGCCAATCAGGTTTTGTTTAGTTTGCAAGGGCCAGTCACCCTTCCATGCCTACTCTTCGTTAATAACTTCTCATTGCGCAATCTGGTAGGGGCTCCTACGTGAAGGTCGGTATGGCAAACTAGGGTCTAAATTAATAACGGGAACCTGGTGCTCGAGTACCGGTACTGGTACAGTACAAGTACTGGGGTATCAACCCAAATTGGACACAGCAACTCACCTCCAGTATATTTGATGTTGACCAAAACCTCATCTGGGCCTGGTTTTGAGACGGGAACCTTTTTTCTCTCAATTGGATCATTGTTGCTCTTAAAGACTTGCGCGTATTGTTCGGTGGGGACAGACATGATTGATAAATTGAGTGTGGGGAGGGGTCGTTTCGATCAAATTGAGTATGAAGGTTATCGCATTTGAGGAGATACTTATACTCCAGCAAAGGTAGAATTTTTTCGTTTCCAACTGGTTAAATGTGTCTCCTGACAATGATGTCCATCTTACATTCGTTCCACCGATGATGCAGTCCTCCCACGTGAGGGTAGCGTGTTTGTGGGACGATCTTGGGGGAGGCGTGCTCCGGGCTTCTCCCATCTTCCCTCCTAACCTTGTGGCTATGCCCGTATGTACCTGTATCTACAGTTTCTACAAAAACGAGCACGATATGGAATACTTCAGTCAGCTCCATCGTCTTCTTATCCTCTCGGGCTCAACGGAGGATGGACTCATTACCGAAGACGAGAGGAAGTTTTTATTTTTTAACCTTTGGAATCTCTCTTCCCTTTTCCCTTTTCATTCCTACGGTTCAAGTCCGGAGTGGATCTGACAAGGCGGAAGGGTGAATTGGGATAGTCTACCGGTATCATAGTACTCGGACATGGACGTAAAAATCGAGCAAAACAGGGATACGAACAAGGAATCTCGGGAATCTTGAAATTGACATCATAGAAAAAAAAAAGGGGGGTATGGAGAGAGTCAAAATACCGGAGCTTTGCATCTTGATCATTGTGGAAGCTAGCAGTTACTGCTATCATTAAAACACTTACAAAGTCCCAAGACCCTAATACCCCAACTTCCTATCAAACTTTAGAAGCTCAGGTATAGAAAGTAAAAGAGGGGGAAGCAAAGAAGAATCATCAGTCCCATGTTGCGCCTGATAAAGGCTGGTATGGGTTCTTGTGTGCTGTACTCCAACTTGCCGATCTTTTCTACAATTCTGGCCGCCTCCGTACTTCAATGCAACGACAGGGTTTCTTGTTTTTGCTCGATTTTTACTTCTATGTTCGAGTATACGATTAACTGCTGATTCTTGCGTCTCGGAGAATTAGATGAGTCCTGGCCTTGGCGCTGAGAGCACACCGCACTGGTTGTTGTTGCCGGTTCGTTCCAGCCCAATTAATCTACTTAACTCCTAAACCTAACCGCCTTCCGACGGACTAATGGGTATCATACCGCACCGTACGAGTAGGTGGGGGGGGGTGTGATATATCGGAGATCCCCCGCAGAATTGATGGATAGATCTACTCGAGTAGGAAATTGCGAGATGTTAGCCCCTGGTTGCTCGGGACAATGGAGTTGTGAGCTTTGAAGTTGGATTAGGGGTGCTGTGAGTAGGGAAGTTTTTAGAATTTGAGGCTGGCCAAAGCGAGCACAAAGGGATCCCCAATCAACTGTGGGAGTGCAATACAAGTACTCGAGTACTGCGTAGCACGGTATTCTGCCTGTTGATACATCATTACCGGTTGAAGAGCATACTCTGTATCCTTGTCCGCCAAGGTCTGGGCTTCATTTATGATACCCAGGTGCGGAACCCGGCAGCAGATGCCACACTCACGCCATACTGGCTCCTCTTTTCCCACAGCTAAATATCATACGGTATCGCAACAGCTATCTGTCTCCCACCCCCGCAAGCCCAAATCATCCCTCTTTTCTTCTCGTCACCTCGATGCTCCGGACAGTGGTTCCCGATCCATATCAAGATACGAGCACAACACTGCTACTAACCTAGGCCTCTCCCGTGCCCACAGACCCATCCCCCAGGCTCGAAACCACAGGTTAACCAGAACCCCCCCCCCTTAAACTGAAATCTTGACCAACAGCCCACCAACCCCTATCACAAACCTAACCGATTCCTCCGGCGGATAGACTACAGGGCGCCTGAACTTCGAATTCTCTACCGGTATGATACAACTACTCGTACAGCCAAATCTTACCCCTATCACACACAGCGCAAAGGGCCTCAGACCGGGACCAGGGAGTAAGTACCAAGACCTGATCTCCGACTGGAGAACCACAACAACGAACCCTGGGAAAATAGCGCCTACAAGATGTAGCCCTCTCTTGAGAGGAGAGATGAGTTGTTTTTCATTCTTAATCGGATATATCCAACTGGAGAAATTAGCCATGCAAGATGCAAAATTTTGGGGAGAGTGGAACAGGTGCTCAGATATTCGCAATATGGGATATATAATACAAGTACTACCGGCAGCAATATTGGCATGGCATGTTTTGCAAAGGTGTGTGTAACTTTCTGAACCCCAATTCGGCGTTTCACGGAGGCCACACCTTTAGTCTAAGCATGCCACACGGCGCTCGAGTACTTCATGCTTTCTCCCCTGTTTCAACCAGAAGCTCCCGCTCCCGCGCTCGCACCAATCATACAGCACAGTTTCGTACCGGTACCGGTACCGGTACTACCAGTATCTTACCCGACTGCCGTACTCGTACATACAAATACCACATTCCTGCTCGCCCGCCAAGGGGCGAAGGCCCCCATAACGCCCATTCTCCTCCATGCCCTCCCGCCCCAGGGAGCCCCCTACCGGATCTGTTGTGGGAGTCGAGGAGGACATGACTCTTACTTTGATTTCTATAATTACAGGTATTGAGGTTATAGTTTCTACGTAGGCTTTTGTTTGCTTACTAGCACTCGTACATTAAATTTGTATTGTGAGGTGAGGGAGGGGGATTTCTTTTACCGGGTTTTCAGGCCATACATTAGGGCCCATGCCATGGATTTTCCTGTACAAGTATCTAATAGTTAGCTACAAATAAACCGCGGACTTGACAAAAAAAAAAAAAGCTCGCCCGCCAAGGGATTTCTTCACCTTTCAACTCCGTTCTGGACAATACGGTAGCTCCGAATAGTGAAATGCGTCCCCGTCTGGTGTGTGAGCCGGGATGCATGCAGTACCTCCTGGATGACAGGTTACACGGTTTGCAGTGTGGGGGCTAATTAAGAGATTGATGAACCTACCGGTACCGGTGCTGAGGCTGAATTTATCTCTCCTCACTTTCAAGATACTCGAGTCTGTACAGTACGTACTTGTAGATGATAGGGGGTATTGCGCTCCCGTCGCTGTAAAGGCTCCAGGCTATGTCCGGATGTTTTACTGTACGTGTACCCGAATACTGTACCGGTACTCGAGTGCAATGCTTGCAAGTATAGTGGTGTATCTGTTATGTGCCCAGACATTCCTGGGCCAGGTTAACTCTCGTTTCAAGCCTCGGCCGAGGTGATGCTTTGTCTTGGGGGGTGGCACGGTAAGTCTCGTTTTTCTTGTTTTGCTTGTAACGGTACCGGTAAGGCACTCATACAAGTAGTAATAAGTGTCATAGCTGCGATAATTCGGTCAACATTTAATAATCACTGTCGTGAAGATCCGTTTACCTTCCCTATTGTGTTGGTTGGACTTACTTTACTCCCTGTTTAGGAGCGCTCTGTCCGGAGGCGAAATCTGGAAAGAGTTGGTATAGGTATATTGTTGGAATCTTATTGCAGTGTGCTCGTATTGGAATGTTGGCTTTGCAAGTGCAGTACGCTTACCATGACAGTCGGTTAGCAGGCGATGGCGCTTGGGAAGTTTGTCCGGGAGCCGCTGTGCCCGTGGGGAATTTTTTGCGAGGGTTTGGGGGGTGCGTGCTGTGCTGAACTGCTTGAAAGGTTCCCATGATATGAGTATCATACTCGAGTGTACGGTACTCGTAAATTACTTGCACCCGTACAAGTACAATATGCCAGCATAGGGAAAGGAAAGAAGGTAAGGAGGCGGTCCAGGGTCCGGGCGGCGCTTATTTACATAGGAATGATTCACAAAAAATCTTTCTCCATTGCTTGTTGACTCTATCTACTTTACTCGGGTACTGTACTCATACGACCTGGCGTCTCTACTGTGCTAGTATCATACGAGTACCGCACTCCAGAGGCTCCATGGACTGGCGAAGGGAGCCCCGCTTTTCTCTCCTTTTATTTCCCCCTCGGGGTGATGGATTCCTGGAATGTTCAAAACGTTAAAATTTTACCTTGTGGAAGCAACTATCGCTAGAAGGTGTCATGCAAGGTCCAAAAGAAGCTTAATACCGTTGGTTATCAATATATTGATATATTTAGAAATGGCGTAGGATAACCGTTGAGAAATCGGACCATTCGATCAGTGACCTTCCTGTACGAGTAGTTAGTGATTGTTAGCACCTTAGAGACGCGAGGCTTGGTTTCCAGATCTCTACGAAACAAGAGGCTTGCTCACGGCACTGCTGGTATTGTATCTCCTGGGTCGCTTAGCGTGTGGGGGGTGTGGTACAAGTACTGGTACTCGAGCATTGCAGAGCACGAGTACGGTAAGCTGGTAGACTACTCGTACTTGTATCATACCTAAGCAAGAGGTGATGGGCAGAGTAAACAAGGGTTGCGGTCCCGGTGGTTGGTTGGTTGCCTTCAACCTTTTTTGAACTACCTTCTTGACCCGGGATGGTGCCTCGACCGCCCTCCATCCGTCTCCACCCTGAAACGGGCAGCGTTTTGCCCTCGACTACAATCCGACTCTCCACAGAGAAAAGTTTTCCGATTTTACGGTATCATATCGGTATCTGTACTACTCGAGCACGCCTTCGACATGACCCTTCTTGTGCTGTGCCCAGCGCGCCTTAGGGGTTGAAGGGGCTGATCCTGGGATGTGGGTCAGACTTCGATGAGACCTCTCCCGTAGCTTGGTTCTCTTGCTTTCCCTATTCTGTGTATCGTGTGTCCTTGCCCATACCCGTCAGGGAGAAATGTGTTCCATGCCCTTCTTTCCCGCTGGTACTCGGGTAAGATGTACCGTGACCATGCGAGGGGATGAGGATGGCTTGCGTCTTTGAGGGGTTGGAATAATACCGTATCATGAGTTTACCAGCTTCTTGGATATTCCTACCCCCCTCCACCCATCCTCTTTCACCCGCCCTTCCTCTCTTTTTCCCCTCCTCCTTCCCTCTCTCCTCCTTCCCTTCTTTTCACCTAGCACTGGCGGCCAATCGTGTTTACCTTGTCACGATTCCTATTAATTCTTGACGTTCGTCTCCCGCCTTCCATTCATTTTTTGTTTATTTAGTTTTCCCAGTTGCGCAAGCGCATTCTTTCTTTCTTTAGGGGACCGGATCTTCACCCAAATACTTTTTCCCATCTAATATAATAGTGAGTTTCTTTTGGAAGAAGCAAACTGTGTCTTCTCCATCTTCTAGTTGTTTGCAGCTCCTAATACATCCTTCGTTGATAGGTTCGAACCCTCCTGGAGAGGCCCGTTCATTTCACTATGAGGACATCAACACACTCCCGCTCGGGTACGGGCTTGTTAATATTGGCTGCTCTCCAAACCTTCGGTTTGGGGGTGGTAAGGGCTACAGCACCAAGTGAATATCCTTCTCCGGAGCCAGTTACAGTGATCTCGACATCGGTGGATCACATGGTGGAAACAAAGACAGAGCATGCGGTTGAGACATTGACACAGAAGATGGTGGAGACATTGCATCTCACTGAGTAGGCCACTATGGATCTGGGGTAATGAGGATAGCAGGCTTATGTTTGATAGAACAAGGCCGTTTACTTCGATTTCATTAGCGACAGAAACACAACATGTTACAGACTTAAAAACAGAGGTGATGCATGTTACTGAGTACGTATCTCCGGTGCTGCTGACCCAAGCGGACGCTAATTTGAATAGGACACTGGCTGTAACTCACACACAACCAGTAACAGAGACTCAAGTTCAACATGTTACTGTGGTTAATACTGTGGGTCAGCCAAAATCGGACAACCTAATGTCAGTACTAACTGGCCGCAGATTACGGAATCGTTACCGCCGATCCATGTAACAGTGACAAACCTACAAACAGTTCACGAGACCATTCCTACAACAGTAGTGCATCTTTCAACAGAGGTTCTAGTAGTAAGTTCATCGCACATCACTCGCTGATAGTTTAGTATTAACATCCCTCCAGCACACTGCCGTGGTAACCAGTATCGAGCCAACGACAATAATCCATACTCTGCCACCAGTGGTTCACACAGTGGAAAAGCTTGTCACTACAATTCTAACAGATCTAGAAACCTCCATCGTCGAACTAACCAAGACTGATATCTCCATATTAAAAGACATCCAAACAAAGACCGAGGTCCAAGTATCCCAGGTCGTTTCAACAGAAGTCCTAGTAAGCCATGTTATCCAGACGATGGTTGAAACACAAGTACAGCTATCTGAGAAGACCGCAACCGCGACTGTTCACAACGTTGTCACGGAGGTTAAAGAGAGTGTGGCTACAGCGACCATTCACAATTTGGTCACGGAGACCAAAGAGAGTATAGCTACAGCGACGCTTAAGGAGGTTCAGACTCAGACAGAGGTTGTGGAAAGCGTCGCTACTGCGACGCAGGTGATTCACAGTATTTCAACCTCTGTTATCAATAATGTTGTCACGGAAGTCAAAGAGAGCATTGCGACGGTTAAGGAATTGCAGACGCAGACGGAGGTTATCCATAGTATCGCAACAGCCACCCAGGTTGTCTCGAGTTTGGCAACGGAAACAGTGAAAGCGGTGGAAACATTATTGAGCCACATTTTCCAGACGGAGACGGTCAACAATGTCCAAACTCAGACCTTAAAGGAACTTCAGACCCAGACGGAGGTAATGCACAGCATCTCAACAGAGGTTGTTTCAAGCATAGCTACCGCCACGGTCAATAACATTCAGACAATCAAGGAGGTTCAGACGCAGAAGGAGACTATCCATAGCATCGCAACAGCAACCCAGGTTGTCTCGAGTCTGGCGACGGAAACAGTGGAAACGGTGGAAACACTATTGAGCCACATTTTCCAGACGGAGACGGTCAACAACGTCCAAACTCAGACCTTAAAGGAACTTCAGACCGAGACGGAGGTATTGCACAGTATCTTGACAGAGGTTGTTTCAAGCATAGCTACCGCCACGGTCAATAACATTCAGACAGTCAAGGATGTGTCGACGCAGACGCTTCACAGCGTAGCAACTTCTGTTATCAACAATTTTGTTACCGAGGTCAGAGAGAGCATTGCGACTGTCAAGGAGATTCAGACACAGAAGGAGACTATCCATAGCATCGCAACAGCAACCCAGGTTGTCTCGAGTCTGGCGACGGAAACGGTAAAAGCGGTAGAAACACTCCTGAGCCACATTATCCAGACGCAAACTGTCAATAGCGTCCAAACCCAGACCGTCAACAATGTTCAGACTATCAATAACGTTCACACTCAGACAGTCAACAACATTCAAACAGAGGTAGTGAAGAGCGTCGAAACTCAGCTTATCCACCAAACAATCGATAGGGTGATAACCGAATCCATCAAGAATACCCAAACTCAAACGGTTCACGCTATCCAGACCCAAACCGTCGCCAGCGTAGCTACCGTAACTCCCCCTAGTTCCGACATCATCAATAATCACTCGCTAACAAAAAATCCCAGGAAACCCTCCTCTCCCATATCATCCAGACTGAAACCCGCACGCAGAATGTCGCCGGTGTGCCCATGCTCCCATCCTCCTCGGCACCAACAGTCCACACCTCATTGCCCGTAAAAATCGTCACGGCAACGACCACAACCCCCTGCAATACGACAGCCTCCATCGGCGCCGGTAAGGCCGCAGCAACACACACAGTGACAGTCGGTGGCACTGCCGGTCTCATCTACACCCCGTCTCAAATCTACGCAGCGGTCGGCGACCTGGTACACTTCATCTTTATGTCGAACAACCACTCGGTGACCCAATCCACCTTTGCAGCACCTTGCAACCGCCTAGCAACGGGAATGGACAGTGACCTCAGGCCAAACCCTAACAACACCATCGTCCCACCCCCATTCTGGGCATACACCGTCACAACTACCGAGCCGACGTGGTGGTACTGCAAACAGCGCGTGGGGAATCACTGCGGTAAGGGAATGGTCTTCGCCATTAATCCCACTGCCGACAAGACTTTTGAAATGTTCTTGGATACGGCGATCAGGATTAACGGCACTGCCTCTTCTTCTGTCCCCGCCGCGGCAGGAACAGGAGCCGCAACAACCGCGGTTACCGCCCTCCCATCTGCAGTAGCGGGTAGCGGTGCTGGGTCCGGAAACGAAAATTGTCAATGCCAATGTTTCTGCCCCACCGCGGCTTACAAGGAAACCACGCAGCTGAGCGCGCAGTCACCCCATTCCACAACAATGCGAATCGTAACTACCCCGCTCCCAACCGGCAACGCTACTATCCTCCCGTCGGCGATACTCTCCCCTTCCTCATCTCTATCTTCAACGCCCACCGCGCTCTCCCTTGGCACCAGCTCCGTTCCCTCCCCTCCCCCATCAGCATCGGGATCTACACTGCCATCACCAGCGGCAACGACCCTGACCTCACCCACAGCCCTCGCCGCCGAAACGCCAACAACTACCGCCCCACCCAACGGCGATGGGTACTCTAGCTCGCTGGTCCTGGGACTCGGCACCAGGAGCACTAGCTTCTCGCAGATCAGCGTGGACTTCAACACTTATTCCCTCGGAACGTTGAAGAGTGTTTTGAGCCTTTCGATTGCGCCGACGCCTAGACCTTAGGCCCGCCGCTAAATGAGAAGGAGGGAGTGTGTAATAATGAATTTGATAGCGGTCATCTTTATTTTTTTCGTGTTTTCTTTTTTTTGGACATTTATTGGGCTCATTCATGATTGTAATATTAGATGGGACGTGGATTATGGGGTGGGGGCGGAACTGCACGGTGTGAGTTTACTATCTCATATCGAATGTCTACATTAGTAGTTCCCTTTGTTACTTCTCATACTGGTGCTGGAATCCTCGAGTTTCCCTCTCCCCGGGAATTTGGGGTGTGGGCTTGCCGTGAGGGTGGGCGTGTTGGCAGCGTGCGTATCCTCCTCGGGTACGTAAGTGAGGTCAACCAGCAATTGCCATACTACTGTAGTCAAGGTACAACAATCTTGTACTGTATCCACAAGGTCCCCCTCCTCTTTCCCCTACTAAACAAAGCGAGAGACCAGAGAGTCGAGAACATTTGTGTCATATTCCGTCGGCGCTCTCTTTTTTTTCCACCCTTGCCATTCTTCCTTCCTTCATTCACCACGATGGCAGAAATTAGACCGAACCGAATTGAACCGGGTATACATAATTGACTTTGAATCATTTGCACTGGATTATGGTATTCTGTTAGTGTAGTATTAGGGGTGGTAAGGTCGTCAATTAGATTCTCATTATCTGAGGGAATGAAAGATGAAAAATGAAACCAGGGGAAACAGGGCTGAGACGCCCCCCCATTTCCTCGTATCACATCAGGTTGCGCTCCGTGTCAGAGATTTTGTGCGGGAATGTTTGCCAGGTAGTCGGACTATTTTCTCCCCCGCACACAGCCCATGGTTAGCATATTAGCCTATTCGCTGTCCTCACAACCAACTCCTAAATTCTCGACTCTTCTTGAAGAAGGGGAAACGAGAAATGGAGGAATAACAAATAGCCAACTAAACAGGTGTCTTACGTCTCCTCACAAACTTCCACCACCCTCCTTCTTTCTCGACTTTCACGCCCTTCCCTTCCCTCCCCTTCTCCTTCCCTTCCTTCCCCTTCCCTTCCTTCCCCTTCCCCCCCCTCTCTTCCCCCTCCACCTCCTTGAGCTTGGCCTCCTCACCCTTCACCGCGCCCTTACTTATATCCACGCCGGTTGCGATGGCATGGGTCCCGGTCTTCTCCCCTTTCCCGACGGTCTTCCGCGCCGCGGACTTGCCCTTCTTCTTACCCTTGGTTAGGCTTGCGTAGGTTTCTAGGCCAAGGAGAACGGCGTATGATTTAGATGTGCTCATGCGGGAAGTATCGGCGCCTTCTTCTTTTAGTGTATGGACAAATCTGCGGAAGTTCTAAGTGGAAGGTTACTTAGCAATCGGCGGGCACAGAGGAGGGGAGGGGGAGGGGGGGGGGCAGGAGTACAGCAGCTGGAGGACGGTAGTGACCGGATAGCGGTGAGAGGCTATGATAGCATCACGTCAGTTAGGTATGCAAGTAGGTAGGTGGTGTAAGAGGGATATACCCTCTCAACTGGCCATCCCGGATCTTGATCAGCCCCGCGGCACTGATCCTCCCACCGTGCAGGAAGCTACTATGCTGGAATGTTCCTGTTTGCTTGATTCCTACGTAGAGCCTGAACGAAGTATCTGCCACAAAAATCCACGTATTCTTCTTAGTCGTCTTACGGAGCAAACGGTTGAGCACTGTTGACGCAGAAACGTGGAAAATCTTTTTAGGCCCATGATGTGCAACCATATTGGGATCTATATATCTGTCTGCAACTGTGCTCTGGTCGGAGCCGGAGGAGGAGGACGACGATGACGAAGATGAAGACGAACTAGAGATACTGCTGCTTGAACCCGGGCGATATCTTTGACCATCTGTGGCCTCCTCAGCGGCTTCTGGACTATCTATAGGTACAATTCCTTCAGGAAATATTAGCGGAGGTTGGATCTATGAACGGGAGTACTGTACCGTGGGGTGTGTCTTTGTATTTGGTACTGGTATCTATGCGTTTCCCAGTTTTGGCCCAACATAGTCTCCCCTCGTTGTCGATTTTGACCAGATATGCTTGCCGTTCTTCCCTCGATAAATATCTTACGCACTCCTTCTCTAGCTGTTCACGGGGGCAGACACTAAGGTCGACTTCCCTGCCCTCGCCACGGTCAAGCCTATCTGGTTAGTATCGCTATTTGTGGCTAAAACAGGGGCATCCACTATACCAGTAGAAGAAATTCTCTTTTGTATCTTGCTGTTGCCAGTAAGAGTGGTATGCTCTCAAGTTTGAGCCATAACGGTGCTAAAATGGTTTAGTATGCGGTTTGCGTATGCTTATTTGCTAGTGTTACCTTAACTATTAGTTGTTAGCGGGGATCAAGGGTGGAGTGGAGATAGATAGTTCTTACGATCAACCATTTCCAGAAAATATCTTTGAAACGTCAGTGATACTTCATGAATATGAACTTCCCAGATAGCGCATACTGCATGTCCATAGCTTTAGAATATTCAATCCTCTCCAAACGTTTCTGCCTCTTTTTCTCTTTCCTTTCTTCCGCCTTCCTTTTTTTTGTACCTTCAGAGTCTCTGCTATTAATGCTATCGCAGTCGTTACTGCTCTCAGAAACGGTATCGTCGGGGTCGTCATGTTGTGCCTAAACCAATTAGCCTCACCCTCACCAACCAGATAATTTATCGTCTCGTACCCGTTTAGCAAACAAAACGGCTTTGTCCCACATCTCTTTTGACCCCGAAACCTTTCTCCCATGCTCCAGTGCCGCACTACCCCCTCCTCCCTCCTCTCGTTGTTTGTTCAATTCAACCCTCCTCTCCAGGGAAACAGGTCGAGCAACTTGTCGGTACTCAGCTTCTTCCAAAGCCTAATCAAGCAGTCATTAGCCATTCGACGAAGGCGCAGCCGGTGAAGCATATTACATCATTCCAGCGTTGCATTGGTGTCAATCCATGGCCCTTTAGGTGGCGTCTTTCGCGATGGCCTCTGTAATGCCGCTAGAAGGTAATGTAAAGTCAGTACTTCATCACTCCCTGGCATGTTATGCGATGCCATTCCATGTATGGTTTTCCTTTTCCTTATCCCCCCCCTTTATCTTGGAGAGAGAGAAGATGCGTACTTGAATTTCAACGGCCGCCTTCGCCATTTCCTCGGGGCTTCTGTCAGAGGAGATTGGAGCTGAAGGTGGGGAAGTTTGTTCCGGCCCCGGGGCCATTTTACTGTACGCGCGTCCAATACCGGTGCCGATCGCAAAGTATTAGAAGTTTGCTGTATAGCAGTACAACTGGAAATGTGGTAAACGCTGGTTATTATGATACCCGAGAGGTACAAGTACAAGTACCGTACTCGAGTACCGGTTGTAGCAGTTAAAAAGTCTTGGAAATTTTCAAAGAGGGAAGCGTTTGCTTGCGGTAAACGGCAAAAACAGAGTGTAGAAGCTGAAGTCGACAGGAGCTTGGAGGAATTACTTTCTTGCTTTCCTTTTTCTTTTTTCTTTTTTTTTAAATTCGCTATGGGTGGCCCGGAATCAAGGGCGAAATTAGAGCTGAGTAGACTACCGTACTTGTCCCGGCATCACAGATCCCCTCAATCCATGCTCGAGTAGATGTCGGGGGAAACTTCTTATTGGGTACTATCCCAGCTGTAATTACCGCAGCGATACCAGCCACGGAGACTCCATGTTTGCCTTGCGTCATGAACGGCGTTATCCTTTGGGTACGAGTAGTGGCTTGTTTCAGTGGAATTTATCGCATGGCGCTCCCGTTCCAGATCAGTCAGCAGCCAGCCAACACAGGTTACGAATCTGGGCATTTCAAGAGAATTTGTCCGAGACAGAATTAGCGCGACCGGGAGTCTAGCGCTCAGTTCCTCCAGTATTTTTGCCCTTCAAACAATGCTGGAAAAATCTAGAACTACTTAAGACCTGGTAATATTTTTAAAAAATTCTCTCTAGAAATTTTCTTGGGATTCTTGACCCAAAAGATCACCATGAAAATACCATGTTTAAGCAAGGTCAGACCAACGCGATTCTGTGCCAAGGTTTCACTTTTTCGGTGGTATACAAGTGCCAGCGGAGATGTTTTCGTACGGGACAGGTATTATCTGATGAGTTAACCTAAATTAACTGTGTAAAAACATTATCCCTAGCACTTGTATTTCTCAGTCAATGGTATCCGGAAGGTTTTTTCGCCAAGAGCATGGTATTGAAAAGGTTCACCAGAATTTTAACTTCTCAGACCACCAAAAGGAGAATATGTTACGGATGTCGGCATCCATTAATAAATTTACAAAATCATCTCACCTGAAAGTCCTTTCTAATTCTAGAGAGGACATTTCCATGGATCACTGTTATTTCCGTTTCTGGAAACCCCATTCTATCCCCGGAAAATGCGTGTCTCAACAAGAACTATCGTACTTAATGCATGATAAAGCTTCTCAGAGAGGACATGTGCCACACCTTATTCCTCTTTCGTCTTGCCAAGCTGCCAGTCTGCCGCCACACATCTGTGATCCAACCGCCAACTGGTTAAAGCTAAACCAAACCCGGAACCGAGTCAGACCGCGAGTCTCGTGACCTTCTATCGTTCGACCAATCGAGCCACATCGGAGCCCGTTACCGGGTCGCCTCCTTTTTGCTCCGTTTCCTCTATCCCATCCTTCGAAGCCTCGTTGTATCGATAAACCCTCCTCCATCTCTCCTCGTTCTCCCTCACAAACCACGTTTTTCTAACGCCGCCCATCTCGTTTCCCATCACCTCTCCCATCGGTAAATATCCAGTGAATACCATTACTGCAGCCGAGATATGAATCGGGGTGGTAAACTCGCACCAGAAGTCCAAAGAGCTCTGTTCGTCAAGAATCTGAGGCACGAAAGAATATGCCCCTCACTGTCATCTCGGTCATCCGCTTACCGCGTTTGTTTTTAGCTACAACGTATCGTCCGAGGAACTCTTCGATCTCTTTGGCAAGTTTGGGCCAATCCGGTAGATATTCTTCCTGCCCTATCCCAAGCGATCGCTGAGTTGTCTGACTTGAAAACCCGCCTATTAGCCAAATTCGTCAAGGCATCGCGAACAACACCAAGGGTACCGCATTCGTCGTGTATGAGGACGTGATGGATGCGAAGACTGCTTGCGATAAGCTAAATGGTTTCAACTTTCAGAATCGCTACCTCGTTGGTTTGTTGCCCCCCTCCCTTCTCCCAGACCACGCTCTATCATCGCCCCCTTAGCTTGGCGGCGCTGATAAAGATGGGATTATCCAGTATTATACCACCAACCGGAGAAAATGGTGCGTTCGGAAAACGACCTCGCGAAGCGCCAGGAGAGCTTAGAAAAGCTCAAGAAACAACACGGTATCGATTGACCATCTGAGGACCCCCGAAAACCCGAGGAAAAGAAGAGCCCATTCGTCAGGTTTGTGGGATTTTTCCGGGATTCTTCTACCCGGTCTTTATCGGGGTTTCAGGTCTCAGGGCGCCATTGATATGATATCTAAAGTGGTTGATTCGCGCTTGGCTCTCTGGTTGGGGGCGTTCTAAGTTATTGTTGGTTTCTGTTTTTCTTGATTTTGATTTTGATTTTACGATTCTCTCTTTTCTTCTCACTACCGTTACGTTTGCCGTTGTCCCTTTTCTTTGTGGGATGATGGGCCAGTCCCCGTTGAATGTTTGACATCGCCGTATGCAGATGGTTTGGCAGGATACCTGTATGCTCCTCCGATCTTTCCGGCCTAAGCACCAAAGCTGATTGAAAGAGCTCAGCAATTGCATCAATTCTATTGGCCACTCTTTTTTTTTTTACCCTCCCCTTCTTTCGTTTCTTCCTTGCTCATCGGATATTTATCTATCTTATCGCCCTACAATCTGAACAAAAATACCGGTGACACCAAATTTGCCTTTTTTCTCACAGAAAAGAAAATATCATATATTATGAATTCCCCCAACAAATGAGCAAACAGAAAACAAAAAAAAAACTGCCGGATAGACAAAGTTCTCCACCACACGCATTCCCCCCAGCCAGCCGTTTTTACCAATCATATTTTTTTCTTTACTTCTTCCCTTCCCCCTTAACCCCATACTTCCATTACCACATCCCTCCAAAAAACAAAAGAGATAAATTGACGCAAGGCCGACCGAAACACCCCATATCATATTTCCCCCATAACGCCAATCCCGTACCCATACCATATATATCCCCGTTGGATTATTAAAAATAAAAAAAAAGACTTCCTCCAATGAAACAAGATGCCTTTCCTCCCTCCTCCCTCCCTTCCACCATTCCTACCCTCTCACCGAGGAAGTCAGTCACATTACAAAAAAGCAAAAGGGCTAATCGAAAAACAAGAAAAAACAAAAAAAATGTACCTGCATGAATGAAAAACCAAAACCACTTAATCATACATGTTATACGCCATAACAAAACTTCGATTCACAAAGCATCACTCACCCCACTCCGAAATGTGGAAGGGGAAGGACCGCTGTTCTGACGACGGCGATGGCGGCGGCGGCGGCGGCGGCAGGAGTGGGTATTCCCTTGTGAACCGGGCAATGCCTTTGAATGAGAGTGTGAGGGTTGGTCTTATGGACATTGCGGTTGTAGTGGTGGGTAGTGGTGGGTAGTAGTGGTGGGTGGTGGTGGGGGATGGGAGAGGGGGGATGGGGAGGGAGAGTTATATACGCATCTCGGGGGGAGGTTTATGGTAGATATATATCTGGTTTGGTTCGCTATTCATAGATTCATTAATTCATTCATTCGGTGCGGAATGACAAGTTGGTTCGCGTATCTGGGGCCTACGGTATGGACGAACGGGAGGTGGACGCGTTGGCAAGAATGAGTGAAGTCGGGCGAGTGAGGATCTTGGGGAGTTCTATTTTGGATCGGGGGTAGATGGATGGATGATGGATGGAGGGATGGATTGAGGGAGGGAATATCGGATGGAAGTGAATGGTTGTGTGGTTGTTGATATCATGGTTCACCTGGTGGGAAGGGTTGCGTCGCTGGGCAGGGAATGGTAAGGCAATGAATGAATGAATGAGTGGATGAGTGGATGGATGGATGAATAGGTAGGCTAACAGTTCATCAATCAGTCCCGTATGTAAGTGCAAGACTGCGGATTGATAGATGGACTGATGGACGGACCGGGAGGCGAAGGTGTGACAGGGTATGGTATGTGTGTTCATCGAGATGGAGAGTTTGTGGGATGGGACAACCGTATGTATGTAAGTACTCGTAATGTCGAAGCGTGTTTTAAGGAGGACTGCTACTGCGTGCCATCAAAATTTGGCCCTTTTACTTGGATCCGGGTGGTATGCAATAGCAGTTCTTTTTAAAGAAACGCTTCGACGCTAGGAGTAGCATATATATGTATGATACTTGTGTATATGTATGAATGCCGTATCGAATCGTGCTCACTCTGCTTTCGCATAGTGGTTATGTAGAGGTATCATAGCTAGGTTAGCAAACCAGCTAACCAGCTGGCTGGCTGGCTTACCTGCCGGTGAGCTATGATAGACCATACAGAACAAGCGGTTGGTAGGAAGGCAGGCAGGGCTATGACTGTGGTGCGGTGATAGAACTTGCTGGTCGGTTCGAGATGGATTGCTTGCAAGACGTTGATCAGAGCCAAAGAAAAAGCAAAGAAAAAAAGCAAGAAAGAAATCGAGAAACCCAGAGAACTGGTAACGAACGATATTTTTCCTTGGTGAATTTTTTCCTTTTTCTCTTTTTTCTACCCTTTTTTTCCGTGCTTCTAATCCATAGTTCAGTGCCCGGAAATAAAGGCAAGAGAAGTGAGAGGTGTAACGACTGGCAAGCAACATTACGGTAGAACTCATGTGTATATGTGAGGCGAAGAGAGCGACGAGGTGGGTTGTTGGGGATGATGATAAGTGGAGCCGCGTGGAAATCTGGGGAAAAATGAGATATTCAGGTACATATTATGGGGGGGGGAGGGTTTTCTAGAATTTCTTCTAATGGGTAGGGCCTGGGAGGGCTTCGCGGTAATGTACGGTAGGTAATATCGTGTGAGTTGGAAACTGGACGGGGAGGGTTTGTCGTATATTCAGGCTGGCAATACTAGAGTAGTGTGTGCTCGAGCATGATGGAGTTAAGTTAGCGGAAGTACCTTGAATGTTGATAGGAGGAGCAGGAAGGCTAGGGAGGGCACGGTACCACCCCGTGGAAAGCAAGTTGTGCCCAGTTGCCAGTTAAGATAAGGGCTAGAACGCGGGAAATGGTCCCCTTGCACGAGTACAGTTGGCGGATGAGTGACATCAAGGTTCTTTTTTTGCCCCTTCCTTCTCCCTCTCCTTCTGGCCTTTGCTTTATGCTTCATGCTGATGCTGAATCCCTCCGATGGATGAATGAGCCGGCGATGGCTGGTGATGATGAGGATGGCGCTGTAATTGAAGGTTTCGTCCAAGGCTGTTGTCGTTCATCCCGCCTCTCTGTCTCTCCGCTCTTCCCCCCCCTTCCCCTTCTCCCTCTCTCTTTCCTGTAGGAGAGTGTTTCGACGTGCTTCAGAAACGGATGACAGACGATCAGATCCTGGCTTGTCAACCAATGATCGGGTTGGGATTGGGGTGTCGCTTTCCTTGTGGTGCATATTGTACTAGTACAGTACACTTGCACGCTTTAGGTACTTGTACGAGTAAAAGTGTGAGGGTAGACTATCTTTTGGGTTGCCTTCGACCAACAAAAGGAGAAAGGAAAAAAAAAAACATAGATTAAAAAATTCACGTCAATGACCCACCTATGATCTGTCCACCCATCCATCATTAGGCATTCGCCCAAATGGCTCAGCTGTATTCCGCGCTGTGTTTCTCTTTCACTAAACCTCAACTCCACCCACACTCATATCCACCCATTGCCACTGCCACTGCCGCTGGTGCTGGTGTTGATGCTACTTGTTGTCTGCAAAGCAAGGAGGGAAAAAGAAAAAACCTGGGCTGTACTGTATGTACGGTACTCGTATGTGCGAGTATTGCAACTGTGGTCTTTGATGATATGCGCTGTCCAGGTTGCACCACCACCGGGTGGGACGCACTTGTGTCCTGCATCCTGCGTACCACGCAAGTCAAGTCAGATTACCCTAACAGGCATACATGACTAGTGACCGGAGACCCGACAGGCAAAGTATCGGTAGAGTGCAGCTATTCTAATGCGCGGTAAGATAGGTTTCCGCTTTCCTATGATTGTCAACGGCGGTTCCATTGACATTGAGGCTTGGAGGTTGAGATCTGAGAGGCAGGGAGGGAGAAGCCGGAGAATTTGGGAAGAAGAAATTTATTGTGGAAAATAGATAAATAGAAGGCAACCTTGGAAATGGAAAGGATCGAATACCGGTAATCTAGTGTAGATGTGCATGACATACCGGTACAGTACTCGAGTAGTAGCGTATTGTTACACTCAGACATTTTTCGTAAATATCATACAAGTAGTAGCCAGGAAAAAAAATTGTGACCGCCGTGGTGGTGGGATGGAAGATCTAAGGCTGGGGATTCCTATCAAGTTAGCTCTCCGTCAAGTAAATTTACCACAATATGCCTTCAATCGTATCATCACCTCCTGCCTCGTCTTCTTCCTACGTCTCTAAGATGTATAGAGGAAAGAGAGACCCACATAATGGACACTACCGGTATGCTGGCTTCGTGTCGTGCTATCTTCTCGTCTCTCCTTTTCCTTTCTTTTTTTCTCTGTCCTCCTCTTCTCTTGTCCATTCCTTTGGTTAAATTTTCTTTTTCTAATGTTTCTCCCTCCTTATTACCATTCTGGGCTTTCCATGTCTCGACCCCCGGTAATGGAAATAGCCCGTCATTATCAATCTCCACCCCACCTCATGTGCCTCCACTTCGACCCCACGAATACCTGGAGTCCACAAGCTGACAATCCCACACTGCCGAAGGGAAGGCCCCTAACCGGCATTCCCGCTCCATCTCCATAGCAAACATTGCCTCCGCTGTTTTGCAATTTGGTGCTGTCAAGGGATATTGCATGCCGGCGACTTGGCTTCTCGTAGAGTAACTTAATACCGTAAGCAAGGCGAGCAAAAAATGTACGAGTACTCATAGGGTCACTGGTAGGTAAGGTGCCATATGTTTTGTCGCCCTGGGTGCTCTCGAGAGGAATAAATAATTCATCCCTCCTAAGCCGATTAGCAAACTGATATTGAGATAATTTTCCCATGAAACCTTGGAAGGCAGATTGGCTCTCTTTTTTTTTTTCCTTTTTCTTTCCCTTTATCTTCTTTTCCTTTCTTGTTGGTAATGTTCAGGTCGCATACCGCCCACATCACAATCCTCTAGGTGTTGCCCGACCCCACCAAACAAAGGTTACCCCTCCAAGTGTTGCGACCAACAGACCCCTCCTCAAAATTCTCGTCAGTCCAGTCTCAACCACTCTACCTCCACTCAACCGACAATAACTTCTTACCTCTCTCTCATTCTTTCCATTCGTACGTTTCCCCTTTCCCCCCATCCCATCAGCTATTCCTCCGCCGCCCAACAAAACTAAAGTAAAACACCACTCGTTACTTACGAGTGCCTCCATTTCCAGGTTTCTTCCCTGGGATTTGCCATAGCTTCTCTCATTCGCAAGGCTCCATCACCCTGCGCAAAAAAAGATGTATCTCAGTGCATCTCGCAAGCCGCCTAGCCGCAAAGGTTCGTCTACTCATCATGGACTTCCAGATCGCAAATTGAGTCTGGAGCTTGCTTGCCTGGCTTGGACTTGAGGTGTTTTTATTTTATTTTTATTTTTTTGAGTGAATTGTTGACAGGAAGAGTCATTGGCTAGGCTCCATGCACGATGTGCCGAACGATCTCATGAAGCACATCCATGAACTCGAGAAGATGTTCACCATTGATACGCCAAAGCTCCATGAGATTGTATCCGTATTCCAAGAGGAACTGATCAAGGGTAGGAACCCTTCGCATGTCAACGGCATGGAGGGTGTTGTTGGCTAGTTTGCTAACAAATTTTTTTGTTTGACGGTATAGGGTTATCTGTGGCAGGCGGCACAATTGTATGTTTTATCTGCAGCTGCGTTCCGATTCATCGCTTTGCGTTTTGGCCACCCAATGGGGTACTAATGTGTTACCGTCCGTTCATAGCCCATGAACCCAACCTGGGTGATTGGATATCCCACTGGCGATGAGACGGGCACCTACCTCGCTCTTGATATGGGCGGAACAAATCTTCGTGTTTGCGAGGTTGAGCTTCCTGAAGAGAAGGGCCAGTATGAAATCTGTCAGTCCAAGTACCGCCTTCCAGAAGAGATCAAATCTGGCACTGGGGAACAGCTTTTTGATTACATTGCCGAGTGTGTCAAGCAATTCTTGGTCGCAAATCATGACGGCCAAGATGTCAAGGATCTGAAGGAGCTACATCTTGGTTTTACCTTCTCATATCCGTGCGAGCAGAATGCTATTGATCATGGTATCTTGCAACGTTGGACCAAAGGTTTCGATATTGAAGGTGTTGAAGGCCATGACGTTGTTCCCATGTTCGAAGCTGCTCTCGAGAGAAAGGTAAAGATTCACTCAATAAACAGTCTCTTATTTGATACTAATTACGGTAATACAGGGGGTCCCAATCAAAATTACTGCTTTGGTCAATGACACCACTGGAACTCTGATCGCTTCTGCGTATACCGACAATACTACCAGAATCGGTTGCATCTTCGGTACTGGTTGTAATGCTGCCTACATGGAGACCGTTGGCTCTATTCCTAAGCTTGCTCATATGAATCTTGATCCTAAACTCGATATTGCTATTAATTGTGAATGGGGGGCGTTCGACAATGAACATCGTGTCCTTCCTCGCACTGTATATGACAAGCATATCGATGAGCACTCTCCCCGCCCAGGACAGCAAACATTCGAGAAGATGGTTGCAGGTCTTTACTTGGGAGAAATTTTCCGTTTGGTTCTTGTTGATCTCCATTCCAACCCTGACGTTAAGATCTTTGAAAAGCAGGACATTAGTGCTCTTCAGACTGAGTATTCCTTAGATTCTTCCTTCCTAGCCGAGATTGAGAGGTATGTTATTCAATGGCATGCTTGATGGGCTTGGGCTTACCATTCTAAGTGATCCATGGGAGAATTTAATGGAAACTCATGCCCTCTTTGAGAAGAAGTTGAAGATTGAGACTACCGAGCCTGAGCGCAAGCTCATCCGTCGCCTTTCGGAGCTCATAGGAACTCGTGCCGCCCGCCTTTCTGCCTGTGGCGTTGCAGCCATTTGCAAGATGAAGAACATTGAATCTTGCCATGTTGGCGCTGACGGCTCTGTATTCAACAAGTATCCCAACTTTCAGGAACGTGGTGCAAAAGCTCTTCGCGAAATCTTCGGCTGGGGGAGGGCGGTTAGGAAGGATCCTATCCAGATTGTTCCCTCTGAGGACGGAAGCGGTGTCGGTGCTGCTTTGATTGCCGCACTCACCATGAAGCGTATCAGGGGGGGTATTCATGCCGGTGTTAACGTCAAGCGCAAGAACTCGTTGATTCCTCCAGTCCCGTAAAAAAAAAAAGGAAACGGGTTGTGTTGCGGGGGGGTCCTATAGTCTGGTTTTGTTTGCTCTGCTCTAGGTCTCTGTACGTTCTAATACCTAAAATCTTTCTGCTATGCCACTTGAATTGAAATGATACAATCATTTTATTGCTATTACCGATATTATTATTTAACCTTTGACGTGAAGATTCCACCTTTTCCGGTTCTGTTCTGTTCTGTTCTGTTTTGTTTTGTTTTGTTTTGTTTTGGTTGGGTATTGTAGCACCACAGAAGATTTATTAGTGGGTATTTGTGAATTTGCATGGTAAAATTGTTGCTTTAAGCTTTTGATCGATAGTGCAACTTTTCTTGCTTTCAATTCGCCATTTCCCTTTTCCTCTTTCCCCCCCTTCCCCTCCTTCTCCCACCCACTACTCGAGTAGTGTCAAAAAGAGAAAAGGAAAGAGAGAAAAAATTCCCCATCATCACCATCATCGTCATCATCATTATTGTTTCGCGCATCATAGATCCCCGGCATCACCCATGATATTTGTGTCTCGTAGAGCACCATAGCCTACAGACATGCATGTCTAAGAATTAGACTCACGCATGCATGTGGGGGGTTTCAAAGTGGGGGGAGGGGGGGTTGCTTCCATCCCGCGGGATGGATTGAATATTTTGCTCGCTCGTTTGTTTGTTTGGCCGCCTTACTTATTATGCCTTAACTTAATATTTGTGTTATTGTTTGACAGGTGTAAAACATTTTACAGCAATCATTCAAGAGCACACCGATCCCGCACTTACAGTACAGTACAGTACTGTACTGTACGGCTACAGCAGCCCGTCGTCGATGGCTGTGCGGCTGCCCACTCTTGACTGCACTGTCATACGTACTTTACAGGCCGCATCATGTCGGTAGGTTGGGTTTGTGCTCCAGTACTCACTCTGATACCGGTATGCAGGCACGGTTCGAAGAGACATGGAAGGAAATATATTTGTTTTATTTTTCTTGTGAAAAAAAAAAAAAGGGAAAAGGGGAAAAGGGGAAAAGGGGGAAAAGAAAAGATAATACTAGTCAGAAATGTAAAAAAAGACAGGAGAAAAAAGTAAGCTCGTAGGTTACTTGTAGAGCACTGAACTCGAGTACTCTATGATATAACAGAAGGGCAGACTATCAAATAGCGCTTACTCAATATACGACAATGCATTTTGATCCGCCTGCAGCGTGAGCTGGTTACCATAGTGCAAGTTGGCCAAATTCTTTTCATTCATCGCGCACATGGCCTCCAAGTTCGCCCTGTGCATCTCGATCTGAGCCATCTGCGCGAACTCCATCTCCTGGAGGGCCAGGGCCTCCTGTGCCAGGGCCCACTCCCTCTGGGCCTCCTCCTTCTCACGCTCCCGCTGCGCCAGTGCCTCCTGTACCATGGCCCACTCCCTCCGGTCCTTCTCCTCCTTCTCACGCTTCAACCTGGCAATAAGTGCCTTCACGCGCGCGCACAATTCATCCGTGACCGCTGCGACCTTGGCCACGAAAGCCGGGTCAGGCTCTGCCGGGAACATTCCCCGAGGTAGTTCCCCGAACGCCCGTCCGCTGTCATCAACTATCGCCAGGCGTACCAACCGGTTGAAGAAGGAGTGCGCGTGCCCCGGGTCCTCCAGTATCTCGCAGACCAGAAGCTGCCTGAAGCCGCGGTGACTGAGCACGGGCATGCGATTTATCGCCACCTGCGAGCCCCCTCCAGTGACGCGCGTGATGAGCGAGTACTCGATCCCCAGGCGATCGTAGAGATGCGCGACCTCGGGATCTGTATTGTTGGGACCACCATCCGCTTCGTTGATCCACAAGCCGAACGAGTTCTCCTTGAGTGGTTTCCCAGTGAGTTCGTAGAAATTCGATATTTGGCCGGGGTTTAGTAAGTGCTGGTTCGCACCGGGGTAGGTTCTGCTCACATGTGCGAAGACCGCATCCGAGAGGTCCTTTAGGCGCCTCGTTGGGGTGTTGTTGCTCGATAGGAGCTTGCTCGCGGCGGTGGGAATGCGGGCCGCTAGCGGGGCGGGGCACGGATGCGGGCTAGTCTCTCCAATGTTGTTGCCGGAGCGAGGAGGGAGCGGGGGTGGAGGAGCTGGAGGCACGTGGTAGTCCCGGGAGATGCTGGTGGGTGGGTAGAGGATCAGGGTTTCGTGCTGCACCTCGTGAGAGTCCGAGGAGCGGCCAAGGGTGTGGCAGTTGCTGCAGAGGTCATAATTCGCGCAGACGCGGCAGATAACACGCGTTTCGGTGGGGGATAGCGGGGTTGAGCAAGCATTGCAGGTTAGGGCCGTGATCATCTTCTCCTCCTCGCTCTCGTCGGTTCGTTAATGTGCGGCGGGGGAAGCTGCAGGAAGAGAGGAGGCGAGTGCGGCAGAGAAGTTGGTTTATATCATGTCCCAAATGTCCCTTTTCCCCCACCCCGTACTTGTGTAACGTATGTAAAAGCAATTTGTGGCACTCTATAAATTTGGACTACCTGTAGCACTCTAAGGAGTTTCCCATAGCACCCACACAGCCCCGTGCATGAGCTGAAAAGGCTTGCAGCTTGTACGACACTTGGCAAATGAGTCCTCAACACAATCCAGCCAAGCTGTGCCTTCGAGTGATGTGTTGTGAACGATACATGTACTTGTAGATAGACACGGGTTAAGACAGTCAAGGTGTGAAAAAAGGAAAGGAAAAAGAAAGGTCGATGAGCCCAGATCCAGAATTGTGTCGATCCCCCTGATAGCGCCCGACGGAAATAAAAAAGGAAAGGAAAGAAAGCAAAATAGCGGTCCACAAGTACAAGTATGACTTTTTAATGCCTACGGTACGTTACAAGTAACACCGAAAGCCCCTATCTTTCCTCTCCCCACCATCGTCGTCGTGACGGACGGGCAATGCATCGTACTTGTACTGTATCCCCCCAAACACCCACCACGTAGTCGTCAACCCATGCTTACGGTTAATCAGCTCACCTAGGATCCACCAAGCAGCCCTTTGGAAGATCGAGTGATTACTTGTGAGTATTCTTGTGAGATAAAGGGGGTAAGAACCACTGTCCCCCTCCCAGAAACAAAGACACCCCCTTTACTCGAGTAAAGCAAACGCTCCCTCGACCCTACCGTCAAACCACAGAGAAAACCGAAGCAATACGGGTGCAAGTGCATTGCGGTGAACAGGGGAAACTCGTCGGCCGTCGAGCCACACCCGCTCTTCCGCCCGGATATTTATCTGCCTCCTGTCCCGACCGGCAGCTCGCATGGTGTGGACACGGTCATTCCAGGTCACTTGGTGGTGGTGATTTGGGTGATTGATGGCAGGAACCTGTTGCCTTGACAGACTGTCAGAGTGCAGGTAGAGATCAAGTGGGCTAATCGATGGTACCCCTGACAGATTATCACAAAATACCGGAACTAGCATTCCCTGGGCGAGATTGATTTCATGGTAGAATAGAAAGAGCGGATAAACCGCTGCCGTAGGGAAATCCGTATCACACCCAACGCACCCATAACCCACGAACGACCCCTGAAGTCCAACCCAATGATAGATGAAACATTACGCCAAAAAGGCCGAAAAAACTCCCAAACCTCACAATCAACACTAAACCAACTCTTCCTCCCCATCCTGCACCCTTTTCAACCGTCCAATCCTCGCCAAATACGCTACGCATCACCCATCAGCCCAACCCTCAAGACGAAGAAGCAAGAAAACAAACGAAAAAAACTCACCAGCCCCACTATCCGCCCAAACTTGGTACCTCCCCACCTTCCACATACCACCCGCATCCTTGATGAAATCCAACAAATACACAAAACACTCATCCCAAGCCTCCCCCGTCGCCGTCCAAATGAACCTTCCAGTGCCCCTAACGAAGACCTTACCGCTCGCCTCGTCGACGATGTATTCTTTGAACTGCATGTTCCGGAAAGAGAGGCTGTCGGCTAGTATGGTGAAGTAGTCCGGTATTGGTAGCTCGCGGCCGAGGAATGGTGTTAGCTGTGGGAGGCCGTGCTCATGGGCGGTTGCGGTTTCGGCGAAGTGTTGCAGGATTGCGGGGAGTGAGGGAGGTGGGGATTGGGAGAGGGTATCGCAGAGGGCCTTTGCCGCGGTTTGGAGGGGGGATGGGGAGGGGAGGGACATTTTGGATTTTCTTCTTGCTGGTTGGTAGGTGTTTGGAGTTGGGGATTGTGGTGGTACTTGTAGTTTTTTGGTGTATCATGTGTGGTTTTGATCTGTTGCTGACGTCATATTCTACTCGTCCAAGTGAAAGGAATGGTATACGTGCATTACGGTTAGTCAGTCACTATAGCACGGCAGTGGGGTGATATCTAAATATTTTACTGAATAGGATTTCAATATTATTACTTCTCCTAAAGTTTGACTGGGGGTTACATGATAAGGATAATTATTACGTCTTAAGATAAATACATTGGGATGGCACTGTTTCGTGGGGCAAAAAACGTACAAGTTGTGATCAGTAAAAATACATATAAATTTACCCTAATATCCCGTATTCCAACCCCCAAACAGAGCGAACTAGAGAAAGCAATATCAAACCAAAAAAGTTAGGCAAGAAACAACCAAAAGAGCGTGTAAAGTACAGTACAAGGGCGCAAGTAGTAAAATCTACAACATCTAGCAATCCATAGACTCTCCCAATTACTGGATCTCGATCCTCTTTCCAGCGCCAAAGACCTTCGGTACGACAACCCTCAAGATTCCATGCCGCAGGGAAGCAGTCACGGCATCGTGATCAATGACCGCCGGGAAGCTGAAGCTTCTAGCAAACCCCCCCACCGACCTCTCAGACAACAACCTCTTTGACCATTCCTCTCCTTTCTCCACCTTTCCCCTTGGCTGCTCCTTCCTCTCAACCGGGCTCCCCATCTTAGCAGCTTCTCCCTCAACTCTCGCCTTCTCAGTTGACGAATCAGTAATCCCCATCCAATCGTCTTCGTCCGGGACGTCTTCGATCGTCGGCTTCAGTGATCATGGAGATGATGGCACGGAGGAAGTAGGTGTTGGGACCACATCTTCACCCTTATCCTCCTTCCCGCTTGTCTGCTGCGATGGTGATGACGATGTTTGTGGTTGTGCCTGGGGGGCGACTATAGTGCTCGACCGATCAACCCGCCCTCTGACAACCATGTTGCCCCTACCCGTGAACTCGACGGAGATATTCGATCTATCGGTAATGCCAGGCAGTTCGCCTTCAACGATGTACGCATTCGCGGTCTCACGCACATCGAAGCGGGGAGAGAACGACTTTCTCGGGGGGCAAGGACAGTAGTTGAGTTCTGGAAAGAACAAGTATTGAAATACTGGTGCAGGCATTTAAATTTGTTTATGGAGTGTGGTGTGTAGAGTGGTGATATAGCAATGGTGGTAAGTAAGTAGTGTTTGTAGATGGTGGTAATGATTATTCGAATTGTGATTTCCGAGAATGATGAGACCTTTGCTGCTTCGAGGAAGGCATACTTATACCCACGATCACGGTTTCTGGCATTTTCTCTACTCTACTCGAGTAATTGATTTCGCAGCGAGTCTTCGTAATTCCCCGGATCGCCACAGGATGTTTGTCGAAGGTTGGGGAAGATGGGAGAGGGAAGTGGAAAGCTACCGTAGGGAACATTCTGGAAGATACAGGATGACGCGTTGGAACACAGTGGCTAACCGAGATTGATGATCTTATCTAATCTAATCCATCTTATCCGAGGAAAACATCTCTCCGCCAAGATCCAATTCACCCACACCCTCACGTACGAGTACACAAAAGGCCCAGCTCGAGAAGAAGAAAATGGAAGACGAACCACTTACGAGCAAGACCCCGATCATTCTCCCCTAATCAATCGTACAGGCTTAGCGAAAAAGAAACCAAACCCTCTTTTTTAAAAAAAAGTGCAATTGCGGTGGCGATGCAAATGGGCCCTAAAAAAGCAAACAATAGGCGAAGGGAGACTTAACCTTCAATGTAACCCAAGCTCCGGCCCTATGATCAGATGGTGAGGAACTCCTGACCACTTCCAGGAACCTCTCAGCTCAAGATTGGCCAATAGATCGCCAAGAATCCGAACTTCGAATCCCGGATCTCGCAACTAAATTATGGAGAGGAGAGATATGATGATACCTTACAACTCTACGAGCGAGCTACGACTAGTCCAGCGGTTTACGGTACTTTGCCATGCTCGGGTGTGTGCATTAATACCGTATTTTTCCGAAGCTCTCCTCCCCCTTGGTCTTGGGCTATTGATAGCATGAGATCACGATAGGTTTATCATATTGTGGTCGAATCTGACCTGCAGCGTGATGCTTACTCGAGAACTCGTAGCAATGATACGGTATCCAGGCCAGCGCGCGGGGTAATATAATACCCTACCCGTCACGGGCTCCCGAGTACTCGTACGCGGCGGATAAAATAGGCAAATGCACATCCGTGGTCTTCCTGTGTGTAGGACGGATGATCCATTTTGGTGGTACAGTACCAGTACTGGTAGTAATAACTGGTAATACCGATACAAGTATTTCATTCCTCGACGCCAGAGCGTGACACAGTAACCAAGAAGGCATTCGCTCGAGTAATTTAATCCACTGGACCAAGTTCCCTCAGGCGTACCAGCACAGGTATCGGTACAGTATTCTGGAAGCCTCTTTTTCGTTATCGCCAAGGGCTCGAGCAGCACTCGTAAGTCAACCGTCTCGTTATTCTTTCGTTGCGGGTTCAATTCTATCGATGAATACGAGTTAACGACCTCATAAACCTATCACATCACCCACCGGTACGAGTAGATCTGGGGAGGGAGACCGATTGTTGTTTCGGATCCTGCGCCGGAGTGTTCCGCTTCTATATAAGGTGTAGTCTACGAGTAGGGCTTTTTGCTTCTGAAGTCAGAACGAGTAAAAGCAAAGAAGATGCAGGGTAACCGCACTGAGCACAGTACCTATTGGCTAACCATTGGAGTATCGTTCGATTGTGCTGGTTGCGGGGTGAAGATGACAGTCACTTGGGGCTGAAGTGCATGCCAGCGGTCTACATCCCCAGACGGGGGAGCTACCAGTACCATGCTCGCAAGCAACCGAGAGCTGTCAAAAATCCCACCATCTGCGGTTATATAGGTGGAAAGATGAAAGAAAGGCTTTGATAAAAAATATACAGTACAGCAAAGTAATAAGTTGAGCAGAAACGCATCAACCAAATGAACGCAAACCATAATCACAAAAAAACCCCTTCACTCCAGTTCCAAACGAAAATGAAAGAAGCAAAAAAAAAAAAAACTCCCCCATCAGCCAGCAAGCAACCTGCTATCCAAACGAAATAAAGAAACAAGCACCAACAACCCTCATCAATCAATCGATCGATTTAATACTCATATTTCTGGCTCATAGCATGTTGCTTCTCATAGAAAATCCTAAAGAAAGAAAAAACATAATCAGCAACCACAATCAAGCTCAAGCAAAGGTTTCAGAAAGCATACCTTCCACCCTCCAGAAACTCCTCCATATTCGCCTGCCGCTCCGCATCGTCTCGCTGAATCTTATCCAACTTCCTCGCCTTGCGCTCCTGTCGGGAGCGTAGCGGGTGCGCCAGATTTCTCAGCACGCGTTGCGACTTTGAGGGCTTTCGCCGCGGGATGGTGCTGAGGGGGAGGAGAGATGCATGATCGTGGCCTGCCATTTTTTTCTTTCTTCTCTTCTCTTTTGTAGGGATGAAAGAATGAAAGAAAGATCTTGGTCTTTGTGTAGCGGTGGCAGTAGCAGTAGGTGCTTGAGATGGGAGTGGGAAAATCACAAGTACTCTATTGAACGCCGGTGTTGTTCCATGGGAATGACGGACAAACGGGTGGGGTGGGGTTTATCTATCAATTCTCCCTCTCCCTCTTTCTTTCTTTCTTTTTCCCCCCCTCCCTACCATCCATTCCATTGGTTCATACATAAGTTGCATACATACTCGATTGCCTACGAACGCTCCCTCTTTCCTTGACCAGTCGGGCGAGTCAAAAATACACTTTTCTAGCCTGCTCGCAGCGCTACTGTACGGAAATTTCTTTTTTCCGCTCCGTTTTCTTGGATTGATTGCTCGATAGACTTAGCCTACGGGTATCATCGTCACTGCTCGCTTGGTCGAATTTGGATTTCGTAAGTTGGGAGGGGGGGCAGTGAGTGTGAGTGAGTGTGCGTTTTGTGTGTGCGAGCTGTCTCGCCTGGTACCGGCGCTGACTGGCTTGTCGAAGGATAGGGAAGGATGAAAAGAAGACGTGTCACAAGTGACGTTGTCCTTGCCCGTGGTTGTTAGCAACCAACCATAGGCTGTGGCTTTATAACGAAATGGTATAGCGCAGCAGGCACCAGCCACGAATGGGCTTGTGGGTTCTAGGGTGATGCATTGTGTCGTTCATCTCTTTGTGGCTCGACCCGCGCCTGACTGGCTGTGGGGCAAAAAAGTGCGATTCGGTGTTGGGCGACTGCCTGAGCTTGTGTTCCAGTGCTCGCACCATATCGGAGTTGGCTCCGAATTGGTGTGTCATGAATGCTCACTCGTGCGGGATTTTTTCTTTCTTTCTTCCCCCGCCTTGGTAGCACACTTTAGTACTTTAAACCTGGGCCATCCCGCTCGTTTACTTTGCCTGCTTGTGTAGTGTGTTAGATTATGGGTATTGAAATCGTATTTGGAGAGTCGCCGTACCGGTATGGGTTCCTCCAGTGGGTAAGCACCGGGCGGATACGATGCTCGGTTGAGTCTAATGGAATGCGTTTTCCGGCGTTGTCCTTTAGCTCTGGCTTGCGCAAAGTACTGGCGCCCGGGTGCTCGCCAATTGGGGGTATGGTGGCTATCATGTACTGTTGCATGGAGCCTTTGGATATCGACAGGCTTGGAGGGTAGCCTTTGCCCACAGTGATAAAGCTAAAGGGGGAGGGAGGGATGGTGTGCAGGTTCATGACAAATTCCGTCGGATTCTCCTCCGTGGCGTGCGCCTTACCGGCCGGTATACAGAAGATCCGACAGTAATAACCCTACGCAAAGTCAGCCCATAGAACCGCAAGCCCCCAGCAGATCAAACGAAATATTATGAAAGATATATCACCTCAAATAAACAAACAGGTGGCGGGGGGAGAGAGGACGCCCTTAACAGCTCCGGGTTCTGGATGGAGTTCGAGGGCGGGATGACTCTTTGGATCCTTCAATAGGGCACACCCCGCGAAAACGATACCGAAGGGGTCTCACCCTACGGTACCGGTAGTTTTGCCACTTTGATTAGGCTCGGCAGTCGATTGTTCGGCTTCTTCTCCGGCTTCTTGGGTCACCTGGTGGCCCACCGCGTGCAATTCTGGGTGATAGTGGAGTGATGAAGTGGGCGTCTTCCTGGACGTGCGCATCAAGTTTGTTGATTGTCATAAAACATCATTCAGCCCCATGCTCAGGAGGCGAGAGGAATCTTTGTAGTCAGAAACACTTGTGCAGTAGGGATTGGAAATAGAGATATATCTGCTATCAGGAAAACTTCTATGCTCACCGCAAGGGATATAAAGGGGCTATACCCTTTTTATACAGACGGGCAACTCTATGGCACCTGTGACATTAGTCCTGGGTCACACCCTCGAACCCAATACTGCACAGTATTCGCCGTCCAAAAGGAGCTTAGGTTGGTCTAGCTGGCAGATATTTGATTTCCTAGCTACAATTCGGATCCATATGGCACGAACCGAAAAGATAACATACAGGAACGAGCAGCGAACCATGAATCCGAAAGGGACGGTACTCGGGCTCGATGCATGGGAAATTCTTCCGGCAGCAAGTTAATTGCATACCCCCCCCCCGCCTCCCTGAGCCAACAAACCTACTCCGCGTCTTGGAAGATTTATATTTCGCGACCCAAACGGATTCCAAAAATCACCTAATTTAGCCCCTTGTGAATGTGTGTGTTCCGAAGTAGGAGAGAAGAAGCTTGATTTTTTAAATACAAAGCGAGAAGAGATACTAATATACTACATCGACTGAGCAGTCACACCGGACACTGTGTCCTATACTACATAGGCCACCTTTCCAACATGACGCAGTAGTGATACCCTTATTCCGACATCCAACTACAAGAGGTACCCAATGCGGTAAACCACTTATAATTAGATCAGGCGTAGTCACAGATTGAGAAAACAAACAAGAGTCTTGTGACTAAAGGAAAAGGAAAAGGAAACTACCTCTGTACGGTGGATAAGGACTAAGTCCAACACCCCTATCGAGTGACGTCTTGTGCGGTGAACTTACAATCAGTGAAGGATGGCCGTGCCGAAAACAACACTACCAGTATCATACTATAGGATACCACATTTCAGCCCGGTCGGTCAAAGGCCCATCCAGATGATTTTCGCTGTTCGCTTGGCAGAGGTTGCGGTGCAGTGCGCGCACCGCTCCGTGATAGGACAAGGCGCCAGGGTGGCTTCGCTCATTGCATTTTATGCTCTGGATCCTCTCCGCGCAACACACTAAAAACCCGCAGGAGGTAGTGAAAAGGGCCGGAAGAGGGCCAGTCCCGAGCGCATGGCCGGCGACGTTGGAAGTGCCCGAATGATTCCACAACTGTAGCGCCTTGGTTGTCTCCCAACTTAGGTACGCCATGATACAAGTGTTGATAAGTGGTTGGAGGTGGGAGTATAGGCGTCATTCAAATCTCTTATCCTGAAAAGTCATTGACAATCCGAAATTGCTATTTTTTTCCCTTTTTTGGTGACTATTTAGGAATACATATTTGCTAGGGCCCTGATCTACGGATGTGCTCGAGTACCGGCACCGTTCGTTGAGCCTTCTTCTTAACCCTCCTTCCTACGTCATGGAGTAGTTAGATGCTCTGGTGCTAAGAGGCGCTAACCTAAATACTGTTCGGGTACCGTCCTCGAGCACAGAATCTGAATATTGACCCTCAAGACATCCAAATACCGGCATCGTACTCTACGAATTGTTTTCGGCCCCGGGACTTTACACCTCTATGAGAAAAAGAAATTCCGAAAAGTAAAACCTAGGCAGGCTCCAATCCCCAGCACTCCTCTGCGATGCTACCACACATCTTGTATGATAACTTTTGTATATTCTTCTGGCAAGAACGCAGGAAAAAGTGGAAGATAAATGTCCAGGGTCTAAACTTTAACCATTAGGACAGCTACAGAAAACATTTCGATCTCTAATGCCACAAGCATCTGGCGCAGTGACAGGGGCCGGAAATGTGGAAAAAGCCATATCCCCATATATAGGCTAGTGGTACAAGTAAAGAGGAGACAATATCATAATTGGACAGTAGATGCTCCTCCATTCATCCTGTACTGCACGAGAACAAAGCGCACGTGTTGAGGAGTATCATAAGAAAAATAGAAGTGTTGTGAAATATTGCGGGGCAGCAGGTGGAATACTGGCACTCGAGTAGAGAACAACTACTGTCTGACTATCATGATATTTCTAATATTTTCTTTTGAGTTAGCCTGCGTTAGGTACCGTATAGACTATACAAGTAAATTGGTTCCTCGATATTTCTAGGTTGTGCCTGCCGAACTATCCCGAAAAGTAGCAAAGCCTCTCGGCTATCCCGCCCGATTTTTTCTTCCCTTCGTAGTTTTCTATTACGGCGATATTGAGTCGGGACTGTGCTGCAATACCCGTATCGAATTTGAAGGCTTAAAGCTGTACAAGTTCTGGATTTCGGAGGAGTTATCGCACGCAGTATTGCATCGTGTGGTATATCGCACCACTTTTTTCAATTCCTACCGCTCGTAGTCTACCGCGCCGTGTGTTCTGGAAGTGAACAAAGTTTTGCCCCCTGCAATCGGCGGTATTTCAAATACCGGTACTGTACTTCTCGAATATTCTGGAGGTGGAATACCGCTCGCAACTTGCTTACTAACCAACAGTACGGTAACCAACGTCGGGGACAGAGGAAGGGTCGGTGGGTTTCGGGGGAGGGTGCTCGACCTGTCATTGCCTCTGGATTTGACGGACGCTGGGTGGCGGTGTCCGGATAGTACGAAATTGCCTCTGTAAGGCACTCGTTCTTGTGCCATACCGGTACGGTACTCGCAATTTTCTGACGTTTGTAAAAAGGACTGGGTCCGCATATGCCTGCATAGGACAAGATATGTGAGTTAGTCCAATCATATAAAAAGTAACAACACATAAAATTAGAATTGTGACCTAGATTTCCAGTACCTACGAGTACCCACCCTTCGCGGCGAATTCTGTCTCTCAATCCAGTCAGTTAGTAAAAGCTTTTCTATTATTTCACAGAAAGCAATATCTACTAATATGTCCAAATTATTTGTTCCATGGGTGCCAACAACCTCGATAGTGAAACGAGCTCAGATCGCTGCCTATTGAGCAATGAGAGGTCACTGCAAGGTCACTCTTGAGCAAATCTCTGTGAAAACTGGGGTTCTGATTAGCACCTGCTCCAATATCATCTGAGAAGCAAAGCGGTGAGTGAGTAAACCTGGAGAGAATTGTTAGGAATACCGAGATCCGATACCTAGGAACCACCCTAGGTAGGGTAACCTCTCCCGAAATCGAAATCTCAGGTCTCCAACACCCCGCTCCGGCCCCCTTACGGGGCCCGCGCGTCATCATACATATTGATCTAAGTTGCGTCCTGTGAGTATTATACCACAGAATCGAAGGTGTTAAAATAACACCGTATACGTCGCCGCCGTCCATCCGACCGGATCCTATTCGCAGGATATATAAGAGGGAACCTTCGGCTAGGTCTGGGAAGTATAACGGAGTGAATCCGTCAACTACCCAGAATGTTACTAGGCTTCAAGAATGAGATATCTTTG